AGAAAGAAAGAAAGAAAGAAAGAAAGAAAGAAAGAAAGAAAGAAAGAGCGGGGGGAGGGAGCAAGGAGATCCCCTTAGTTGTTAAGCTCCTTTAACCACATGAATTGCTTAGCCAGGCAAACATATGCCAGCATTGCAAAACACACAAACCACAAAAGAAGGAAGTGTTGCTGGGGCACCAAGCAGGAAGTTGACCTAAAAAAAAAATGCCAATCTACTTCCATCTGATATATCTGAGTCAATATCCAACCAGCTCTATGCAACTAGAAAATACCCCAGTAATACCAGGAGAATAATAATTTCTCTACTGCCCTCATTCTCAAATTATCCTTAACTCTAAATGTGACCTGCCTGTTGCAATATCCCATAATGTCACCAATGCCATGCACTCAATCTTCAGAGGGTCTGTGAAGCTGATCCTCAATTTTGTTTGAGAGTGGGTTGAGTTTAAAGGACTTCTGAACATGGTGGTTGTGGATTGGTAATAGCAGTACAGACCAGATTGAAAGAACATTGTGAACAAATCATCATCAAGCACCACATATTAGCAAACATGTAGAACACTGAAGGTCCTCAAAGGAGGATCCGTTGCCTTCAAGTTGATTGGAGAATTCCAGCTTTCTTCAGATCAGGAGAAAGTTCCAACTTGTCTTTTCAAGAGGATCACAAATGCTCTTAGTGGGTCACTTCTGCTGACTTGAATTACAGTTAAACATGGCTTTGCTGTGGTGATGGAGCTAGAGGTTTCCTCATACAAGACAAAATGGGACTTCCTTAGGATCTGTCTCTCCCAATTTTCATGGAAAGTGCCTCTTCCAACAGAACCAGAAAGGTCTGTTAAAATAAGCCACCTCTGCCCCCAAGTACCAGGAGGAATTCACCAAGAATTCCAACCCTCAAGAGTCTCAATTTCACCCCTTGAGATTTAGCTCAGCATTGGTGCTTGGGAGGAAGAACGGGCTGTTTCCGTGCAGACAAAGTAAGTTCTTAGTTCACCTTTGCCCTTGACCTTGATAACTCCACGAAGGGAGCAAGTGTAGCCCAATGTTTCCAAAGCTTTAGCTGTCTCTTCTGTGACCTAGGAGAAGAAAGAAGGAGAATGTAAAGGTGGTTGATACAGCTACAGCTAAATGACTGAGTCTTCATTGACATTAGCAATAAGTTTTGGGGAGAAATGCCTGCAGTTGGTATAACAAGAATTAGCACTTTCCAATGACTCTCTGACTCTCTGCCTAATTTAATTTTTTTTTTCATTTTGACTGAAGAAGTTACTTGAATGAGTAATGAAATGAATCAGTTTAATAAACTTTGGTCCAATTGCCATGATTTAACCTTTTTAGATATAGCTATACAGTTATTTTTGTCTTGTCAATTCACCAATTTTAACTTATTTATTACTGTTCCTTTCCGAATGAATGGTATAACTTTTAATTAACGGGAGAAGATACTTTGGATTTTATTTGGCCCAAGAAGATGTCAAAAATTTCAGCTGAAGTCCCAAAGATGCTTTTTTTTTCAAAAAGCAACTGGATTTTGTTCTTTTATTTTGTTTTTCTTTGGAAGCATTTCAGTTCTTCTATGAGAAGCAAAATGTTTTCAAGAAAACAACCTCAAGAAAGTCCAGTTACCCTTTTTTTTTGGGGGGGGGGGGCATATTTAGGACAATCATGACCTGGATGGTTGAGAGTCTCCATAGACATTCAGGTGAAATGCCTCAACAGAAAGGGGGCTCAGCAAACTATCTACATAGATGTTCTCTTAGTCAAGTTGGTTTCAACCAGATTAAGCAAGTAAAACTAATGTAGAAATTAAATTGATTTGTTATGGTGGGGTGGAATGGCATAAATAAATATTAACCTCAGCACCATATGTTGAACAGTTGCTTTCTCTTCCTGAACTCCTAGAACCCTTCTGATCCCAGATTACTGAATTGCAGCAGCGTAGTTGTTAAAGATAGAATGAAAATGGAAAATGATCTCCTGTCCTAAGTTTAATATATCTCTGGAGATTTTGCTCCTCTTGATTTTGTCTGTACTCTGATTTCAAAGACAACCAAAGAGGGAGCGAGATATTATATATATTATTGTTGGTTTAAATTAGAGTTAAACGAAAAAGTAAAGAGGAAGCACTGAATTTGGAGGTGCTAGATACACTGGTACAATTACTAATAATAATTCTAATGCATTTCAGACAAGGTCCTACTTTTAACTTTCCTGTAGAAGACAGGAAACAAAGTATACATTGATTCTGCAGAAGATGTATCTGTTTTTTTGGGGTGGTACTTTCCCAACAATGTTTTTCTTATCTGAATCAAAAAGTGGACCATTTTGTGGTATTATATTTGCATATACTCTACCACTTGCAAGCAAGTGCATGGTAAACAATCGTGAGTCCATCCACATGTGCCCCCTGACTTTAGGGAGACTAGGTCAGGGGCCTCCAAACTTGGCAACTTTAAGAATTGTGGACTTCCATCTCCCAGAATTCCTCAGCCAGCAGTTGCCATGTTTGGAGAGTTCTGGTCTAGGTTAATCTGCAGAATGTCAAATGATGGCAATGAATTGGTACAGTTCTGATTTGCTGAGCTACACTCAAGGCCAGAAAACAGACCATAGTTCCCCAGTCCTTGATATGTAATTCCAGGTGGGTGGGTGATTCTTCATAAGCATGTCAGGCATAGATGGTTTTCTCTCCTGCTATGATGGGATGGTCAACCTTGATGCAATCAGCCACAATGTGAATATACACAACATTCCTGGAATCTATTGGCATTCAGCTCAAAAACCCTGACCCAAAAGTACGTCACCCAGAGGTGCTTTCTGTAAATGGGCCACCATATAAATTTGATTCATAAATAAGTAAAATGAAAGGGTAAATGGCATACAAAAAATAGCCATATGGCAAAACCACTACAGTAAAATGTTTACTTTAGGGCAGGTGTCAAACTCAAAGTCCGGGGGACGGATCTGGCCTATGGGGTGCTTAGATCTGGCCCATGGGCCCACCCTGGAAACAGTGAAGGACCGGCCTGCAGTGCCTCTGCCAGCGAAAAGGGAGCTCAGGAGGGTCATGTGCAGCCCTCCTCAGCTCTGTTTTCACTGGCAGAGGGCTGCAGGAGGCCATCACAGTAAAAAATGGAACCCGGGCATGCCGTGTGCTATGTCCCCAAGCTCCCTTTTGGCTAGTAGAGGGCTGTAGGTGGCCGTCACAGCTGAAAATGGACTCCAGAAGGGCCATCATGGCTGAAAATGGAGCCTTGTGAGTGACATTGAGTTGGCCATGCCCACCCTGGCCATGCCCCCCCCCAGCTGCCCAAGGTCAAACCCCCAACCCTGATGTGACCCTCAATGAAATTGAATTTGACACCCCTACTTTAGGGGAAAGCCTTATACCAGACAAATATATTTTGGGGGGTGGGATGCACAAAAGTGCATATCTAGGATAATGTTCTGTGAAAGCCACTGGAAGTTGTATCCCCAAAATAAGATCTAATAGAACAGTAAATCAATAATTTAGTATTGAATTCTGAAGTATTTGATTCTCTTCGAATGTGGTGCTGATGTAAGCCTAGTTGGGTAATGAAACATCTGCAAGCAAGCAACCAAGCTCAGAGAGCATCAGGAAGTCCACCAAAATAAATGAATGATAAAAAGGAAATACGTCCATCACATTTTATTAAACAAAGCAATAGAGATAGTGGATTAGGAGGACAAGGATAAGAAGAACAAGATCATTTTCCTATCCCTATTTCACTGACAAAGGGGGACATTTTCAATAGCCTGGCAGCCTGTCTTCAGAAGAGTTCAGCCAGCTGTGTTTGGGGAAAAACATATGTAGGTCTTCATCTCCCGTCCTTTGATCCATGAATGGCAGGAACAAGGAAAAGGATGCTACCTTTCCATATTGTTGTCATGAGGAAGAACCATGGTAGATATTCATTTCAACAACTTCCAACTCCAGTTGCATTTTCTATATTTTTATTTCATCTAAATCTCTTGAATGATTGAAAGTTCTAGGACCCAAGTCACAGAAAGGAGACCACATAGAAAGGTTTTATATCTACCTGTATTTTTCCCAGAACTCCTGTGCTCTCCATTCGACTGGCTACATTAACAGTGTTTCCCCAAATATCATATTGGGGTTTCTGTGCTCCAATGACCCCGGCCACAACTGGTCCATGATTTATACCTGCAAAAGTTTCCAGAGTTTAACAATGGCTGTCAATTGAATCAAGCAAGGATATAAGTAGTGTTAAATCAAAAGTTCATACAATTTTCTTCTGACATTTTTGTTGCTATCTCCTTCATTACTACATGTCCTAAAGTAAATGTACACCAGCAATCCAAACATTGATCCAAGAACCTGGCCTTGTGCTATTTTCCCTACAGCACCATGAAAATTTTTCAAAACATTATTTATTAAATTGCAATATAAGCACTTTTTTAAAAAATCATGCTAAAAATTCAAAAGCCAATTGGTGTTTGAGCAAGCACTAGACTGAAGCCAATGTAGAAAGTTATCACACACACCTTCCTAGAAGAATGAAATATTTTGAGGAATATTTTTAAAAGGCGGGATAAAATGTTTCCCTTAAAAGAAAAAGAAAAAGTCTTATGGGAGACAGAAACTCAGAACCCCGGTTCCCTGCTCCCAGCAGATATTTTGTGCCCATTAAGACATACAAAACAAAAGACTTTCAGCTCCAGGGTGAAGGGATTAAGACATGACCCTTCAGGACATAATAGGATTGACCCACTAAGACACAGAGGTCACTACATTGCACAATCTCCTAAGGATATTGCATCCGCCCTAGAAAACTTCAACCAAACTTAGCTCAGACAAATTTCTAGAATTTGTACATGGCCCCATGGGAGTCCAACAACAACTAATAGAATACATGCTCTTGCATAGGAACAGAAAGGTCAAGTGCAAAGCCCAAGAGAAGGTATAAATACCTCCACTCTCAACTCCATGTGTTCAGATGCACCAGAACTACAAACATGTGGTTCTGTTCATCAATAAATGGACCCTCTTTCGAATCAGCCTCCAGCCTTCATTTTGTCTTCGGTGCCTTCCTCCCAGCTGGCAACTGAAGCTGATGGATATTTCTTCCAACACTACTGTTTTATATCTGGGAGGACAGTTCAAGAACGGAGGCAAGACTCAGATAGTAACTAAAGCTCTTTATTTGTGACTTCAGATCTGAGCAACTAACCCCAGCCGCAGCAGCCCCTTATATAGGGCTGTCTGCGGCTAGGCAGCCAATGAAGGCGATTTGAGTTTGCCGCTCTTGGCAGGGCCAATCGCGGCAGTCCGTTTACTGGCCAATCGCATCAGTCTATGGCGACCAATCACGATCGGCTTTCAGCAGGCCAATAATATTTGCAGGCTACAAGCCTGCTAGTCTGGAACACCCCTCCCCTCTCGGTTCCGTTTAAGGGGTGGAGTAATATAGTCTCGCAGGTAAGCAGGTCTTCACACCTGTCTGCCTGACTTACGCAGTTCCGCTTGACCCTGTTCAAACCCGGGTTCAGATGGACGGCTTGCTGGATCAAACAGGAACGGTGAACCAGTGTCATGGTCAGGGCTCTCCTCTGGTGCCTCTGGGGTGATGAAGTCCTCAGCCTCGCTGTTACTGTTCTGGCTCCTGGGGCTCGCTGAACCTGCCTGGTTGCTGCTTCCTGGCGAAGGGTTCGACTGTCCAGTCTCAGTTGCAGCTGGTGAGTGTTGCCAACCATGGTGCGGTGATCTCGGTGGTAGCTTGGAATAGACAGGTGTTGGTTCTAATTCTGAGTTCACTGCTTCCCCTCCCCCCCTAGTGTCAAAGTTAGGGTCAGGGTTGGAAGATGTGGTTAGTCTGGAGCGCAGTTGGTCAATATGGCGTTTCCATGGTCTGCCATCAGTGGTGAGTAGACGGTAGGAGCGGGGACCCGTAACTTGAGTTACCTGGGCAGGAATCCAAAGGGGATCCCCAGAAAATTTTTTTGCGAAAAGAAGGTCTCCTACCTTGAAAACACGGTGCTTGCTGCTGGAACCCAGGGGCTTTTCCAGGGTGTAGGCAGGGTGCAAATGATCTAGAGATGATCTGAGTTTCCTGGCCATCAGGAGTTCAGCTGGGCTCTTGTTGGTCGTGCTGTTTGGTGTGATGTGTTGTAGGAGCAGCATTCTAGTGACTTTGTCGTGGATGTTGCCTTGATCCATTTTCTGTAGGTTTTTTTTCGTAAACTGAACTATTCGTTCAGCCCGCCATTCGCCGCAGGATGAGCCGGCGATGTGAGTGCGTGTCGGATGCCCCATTCCGCTAAATACTGTTCAAAGGCTAAGGCAGTAAATTGGGGCCCATTGTCAGAGACCAGGACATCTGGTAACCCGTGTGTGGCGAAGAGTCTGTTCAGTTTTTTTATGACCGCCTCAGTAGTGGTTGCTTTCATTTTATTGACCTCAAGCCGGTTTGAGTAGGCATCAACAGTTATTAAGAACGTGTGGCCTCTCGTAGGTCCCGTAAAGTCAATATGAATGCAAGACCAAGGACCCCTGGGTGTTTCCCATTCTGTTGGTGGGGCTTTAGGTGGAGCTGAGTGGTTTTCCTGGCATTTGTTACAAGAGGCGACCCAGGTTTCAATTTGTTTATCTATACCTGGCCACCAGGCGTAACTTCTTGCCAGCGCTTTCATACGTACGATGCCCGGGTGTCCATCGTGTAGCATTTGCAAGACCCTTTTTTGTAACTTAGTTGGAACAACAACCCGGTCTCCTCACAAAACGCACCCTTTTTGTGAAAAAAGTTCCATTTGTCTGTTTTTAAACAGCTTAAACATTTCCTTAGTGTTGTAATCTGGCCATCCCCTCTCCACCCAGCCAAGAACTCGTGCCAAACAAGAGTCTCTTTTGGTTTCAAAAGCGATGTCTTGAGCCGTTAATGGAGGTGATGGCATTGTCTCTATTTGCAGTACGGGGAGTGTGGGAGCTGGGTCTTCCTGTGGCTCGGGTAGCGGTGAGCGGCTCAAGGCATCTGCGTGGGGAATAGATTTCCCCGGGCGGTACTTTAATTGATAGACGTAGGCAGCAAGAAATTACGACCATCGCGTCATTCTGGGGGAGAGAATGTGTGGAGTAGGTTTGTCGCCTGCCAGAATGCCAAGTAGTGGCTTATGATCCGTTATAATAGAAAACGGTCTCCCATAAACATATTCATGAAATCGTTTTATTGCAGAGACAATAGCAAGGGCTTCCTTATCTAATTGGCTATAGTTTCTTTCTGTTTTTGATAGAGTTCGTGAAAAAAATGCAATTGGTGCTTCTGAGCCGTTTGGTAGGACATGGCTCAGGATGGCCCCTACCCCAAATGGTGAGGCGTCACACGTGACAGTCAAAGGTAGTGTCTCGTTATACTGAATTAGTACTGCCTTTGAGGTAAGGAGGACTTTTACTTGCTGGAAGGCGTGTTCCTCCCGACGTCCCCAATTCCAGGATGCCCTTTTATCGAGTAGTCTATGAAGGGGCTCAGCAACAGTCGCCTTCTGGGGTAGGAAGATGTTATAAAAGTTAATAAGTCCCAGGAAGGCTTGGAGGTCGGTTTTGTTTTTAGGTCTTGGGGCGTATTTGATAGCTGCCAATTTTTTTTCTGTGGGGTGGATTCCTTGCTTGTCAAGGAGGTAGCCAAGAAACTCCACCCTTTCTGTGCAAAGCTGGCACTTTTCCTTCTTAACCTTGAGGCCAGCGTTTTTGAACCTCTGTAGGACTGTTCTGAGACGTTTTTCTAATTGGTTTTTTGTGGGTGCTGCTATTAATACATCATCAAAATAGGGCACGACCCCTTTTATCCCTTGTAATAGTCTCTCCATCAGGCTTTGAAAGATGCCTGGGGCTACGCTTACACCAAACTGGAGCCTGTTGCATTTGAATGCACCACGATGTGTTACTATAGTTTGGGCTTCTGCAGTCTCGGGATCAACTGGCAGCTGTTGATACGCTTGGGCCAGATCTAATTTTGCGAATATTTTGCCACCCCCAAGTGAATGCAGGAGATGTTGAACAACTGGTACTGGGTAGGTGCTCTGCTGTAGCGCGTGATTGAGGGTGGCCTTGTAGTCACTGCAGGTTCTTATGGACCCATCAGGTTTTATGGGGGTGACAATTGGTGTCTCTCATCGGGCGTGGTCAATAGGTTCTAACACGCCTTGCGCAATTAATTTGTCCAGTTGCTCGTCAATTTTGGATTTAAGAACAAAGGGAACTCGGCGTGGCTTTAGACGAATGGGTGCTATGTCAGGGCGAAGATTAAATGAAATGGGGGACCCCTTGTACTTGCCTAGGCTTTTGTTGAACACTTCTCAGAAATCATGGACCAGAGCTACCTCCCAGTCATTGTCTTCAGTGTGATGAATGCCAGCCATTCCGATTCCTAATGGCGCGAACCACTGAAGGCCCAAAAGACTTGGCCGGTCTCTGTCTACAATGGTGAGTGGTAGAATTGCCTTATGTCCCTTGAACGAGACCTGCACATGGCAGGTACCTGCAACTGGAATCCGGTTGCCTTGATAGTCTTTTAGTATGAGTCTCTGACTGCTGAGGTCTTGGCGTCGGATGTTGGGGACTAGCTGCTTGAGTGTTCTCCAGGATACCATGGATAGTGATGACCCAGAGTCGACTTCCATGTTGCACAGTTTGTTTTCAATCGTGACCTCTACTCGGATCTTTTTAGCGTCAAGTGATAAAGCGTGGCCGATGGTGATGGTTTGATGAGCCTCCTCTCGTCTGGGGGTGTCTGGGGCTGGAATTTCTCTTGTTTCTGCATACCTTTGCGATGTGTCCCCGTTTCTCGCAAAAACGGCATATGGCATCTAAGAATCTGCATTCAGATCAGGGATGGTTTCCCCCGCATCCGGCGCATTGGTAGTTGGCTTTGCAACCCCACTGGTCCCATTGCTCACATTCTGACCGGAGCCTGTGGACTTCTTCTTCCTCGCTGTTTGAGGATGACTCGACGTCTTCGTGATGGGTGGTTGATGTGCACTTGTCTGAAAGTTTCCCAGCATCATTGGGTTGGTGGTTGGTCCCACTGGTTCGACGCATTCGTGCTGCCGATTGATGAGTGGCTTCGGGTGCTGTGGCGTCTGCTATGGCATCTGCAAGCGAGATGTCTCCCTTGGCCATGATCTTGCTCTGGATGGTTGGGACTCTGAGGCCAAGGACGATGCGATCTCTCATGGCTTCTTCAAGGTTGGTGAAGCCACACAAACCGCCCAGGTTCCTCAGGTCTGCCACAAAATCCCCAATGCTCTTACCCTCACGTTGGTCCCTCTGGTAGAACTTATGCCTGCAAATGAGAGTTGGCACGGCTGGGGCATAATGGTTGCGCAGGATGGGAACAAGGGTGTCCCAATCCATGGTTTTAACTTCAGCTGGCTTGGCTAAGGCTTTAGCCATCTTAAAAACGGCTGGTCCACAATGGGTTAGAAAAACGGCTCGTTTCTTGCTGGGCGTGGCATCTTTGAGGTTGTTGGACTCCAGGAACATTTGAAATCTGTCCATGTATGAGTCCCAATCTTCGCTAGCTGGATCGAATGGTGCGGGTGGTATAACGCTGCTGGCCATGTCGCCGTCGTTGCGCTCTGTCAGCCACGTGCTCCTTTGGCTAGCTCAATTCAATAGCTTCTGTTGCCTCCGCATCCCATCCTCATCGCCAGTGTTATATCTGGGAGGACGGTTCAAGAACGGAGGCAAGACTCAGATAGTAACTAAAGCTCTTTATCTGTGACTTCAGATCTGAGCAACTAACCCCAGCCACAGCAGCCCCTTATATAGGGCTGTCTGCGGCTAGGCAGCCAATGAAGGCGATTTGAGTTTTCCGCTCTTGGCAAGGCCAATCGCAGCAGCCCGTTTACTGGCCAATCGCATCAGTCTATGGCGACCAATCACAATCGGCTTTCAGCGGGCCAATCAGATTTGCAGGCTACAAGCCTGCTAGTCCGGAACAACTACTATACCTAAAACTGGTGAAGACATATAAACAGGATGGACAAAAGCCGGGAAAAGCTCCCTCAGGGGAAATGATGTAAGTCATTAAGAAAACAAAAGGACAAAAGTTGAACCTAAGCATGTGACAAGCCCCCTTCTCAAATGTCATCAACAAAGGAGTTGAGCCTGCATAAGAAGGCCCTTCCCAACAATAAAGCAAGAACTTTTGGGGGATAAAAGGGATCCTGAAGCCTGTCTACTGCTTGGATTGTTTTTGGATCCCAGACTTAACAACTTCTGTTGCTCTGATAAGTGTCTGGCAGCCTAATTGTGGATGTTGGATAAGTGTGAATGAAAGAGAGTGTGTAAGAGGAAGTAAATATATTTTACAATCTGTAATAGTTTGCTGTTATTTTAAATCCCTTGGATCTCTATTTTAAAGAACTGTTTGTGCCTCGTTGCTCAGCTGAAAACAATTTGAGTGTGGCCATTTTCCAGGGCTGTGAGTAGGTAAGTGACCATAAGCTGAACCTAAGAGCACACTTGTATAATTGTGCCAACATTTTTCATAGCTCACCTTCAGAAGAAAAATAATTCAATTTGCACAACAGCTTCCCCTTTTCTCCACAAATATAAATCCTGTTTTCATTGTATCGTGAGTTCACAGCCAAAGTATGTTTATAGAAAAGAATTTTCTTAGTTCATGCTCAGTTTATTAAACACTCACCCACACGGAGTTTGAAAGTGTTGAATGAATGTTTGTTGATAATGTCCAACTTGGCTACCAAAGCCATGGCAAACTCCACCATGGTTCCCAGGTGGGTGTAGGTCCTCTCAGTGTCCTGCACAAATCATCCATGTAGATGGAGGTATCAACGCAAGCCAATGGATAGAAAATGTAAAACACAGAGACAAAGGTTCCTCTAATATTAAGAGGAAAGTGGCTTAGCACAAATTGATCAAGTAACAAATGTACTTAAGATGTATTTTCCTCTCATTCTGCTACTGCAAAGTCAAAGTGAGCCCTTCAAGTTAGATGAGACTAGGAAAACAATGCTATGTAGGTAGTCCTCAACGTACAACTACAAGTGGGGCCAAAATTTCCATTGCTAAGCAAGAAGCTTGTCAAGTGAGTCACACCTGATTTAACAACCTTTTTCACAGTTATTAAGCAAATCATTAGATGAATCACACAGTCATTAAGTGAATCCAGTCTCCCTCGTTGACTTTGCTTGTCAAAAGCCAGTTGGGAAAGTCATAAAGGGTGGTCACATGATCCTAAGACAATGCAACTATTGTAAATACATGTTAGTTGCCAAGTAACCCCATTTTGATCACAGGGACATGGGGGTGCTGTGGTGGACATAAATGCGAGGACTGCTCATAAATCACTTTTTTCAGTGTCATTGTAACTTTGAATGTTCATTAAACACTAACACTGATCACTAAGTGGTTGTAAGTCAAGGGCTACTTGTACTACTTTTCTTGTAGTGCTACAGTGACAGAAGTTGCAAATTTGAACTAGATTCTCCCCTCCTTCCCTTTATCTTCATGTTCTTCCAGTGAACCTAAGGAGATCCCAGTCTGAGATGCTTACTGAAGCTATATACCTGCTCTGGACTCAGCCACCTCTTATCTAATCCTTGCTTTTGTAGTGATTCTTTCTCCTGTTCCTCACAGTCATTCCCTCTGATCTCTACAGATTCCTTATCATACACATTCCATTCATATGCATATATACTTTCACACATATGTCCCAGGATCCCAAAGAGCAAAATTATGGAACCATTCCAAAATTAAAAGATCCTGTATTTTCAAATAATTCATACAAAAAAGATGTAACTAATAAACACCAAAAATATGGCCTTGAAGATGCCAACAAAGAAACAAGGTGGAAACAGAACATGAAATCTCAGTTCCACAGACAGGTTCAAGATGAGTAGAGGAATCCTGAATAAAGATACCACCTGTTGGTTATCCTGACCAGCTGCCACATTCAAGCCAGTAGCTGCCATGTAAGTGCTGCCAATGGTTTTGATCTTCTCAACTCCACTGAACTTGGGTTTCAGAAGGAGCTATTAAAAGAAAGATAGAAAATAATTTATTCCGATAGTTCAAAAGCTAAGACACTTTTGCATATCAATCATTTATCTAACTTAGCATTTTTCTCTGAAAGGTATTTAGTCAGATGCATTTTGAGTCTGAATTGTGATGGTGATACAATTAGGCAGATGTCATCTCTGAGCACGGATGGTTCTTACAATTCTGAGACTGAAATTAGAAGTGCCTATAAGAAATGTTACACAATTTATTGGAACAAAATCCTATTCCCTTCTAATACCAATGAGCTTCGTTTGGTAATGAAACATCTTCAAGTTGGGGGTTTTCACAAACTTCAGAGAGTACCAAGGATCCCACAAATTACAGTTCCAACAATTGTAGAGATTATTCAACTAGATCTCATCCATGGTGATATTGGCTTTTCTACAAAAAGCCACATGAAAGACAGCAATAATCTGTCATTTTCAATTTCAATTTGAAGCAGTTCGCTTGAAGAAGAATTACACGATGCCAGTTTTATTAATGTACCATTGGGACCTCTTTAATTTTTTTACACTAGTATATCTCTGTTTCCTCAGCTTCTTTTCATTCTGAATTTAATTAAGCTTATTCTACTTATTTAATTATAATCAGAATATAGTATAATGTCATGGGGTGTTTCTACTTCCTAACCTAGTATTGTACTAATCCAGATCATAGATTCCTCAAATTCTATCACTATCTCACATCTTATTATTTTAATTGGGAATTAAAAGCCATGTTTTGAGATCTTTAGAACTTCCCTTGATCAAAACTGCTGGAACATAATTTCCACCATTTTGTGATAGCAAATAGTTGGAAATTATAGTTTAAATCCAAACAAGAAATATCATGATAAAAAAACAAAATCTCTGTCCACATCCCAATAATTCCTCCCTTCAAATTCCAGCCTAGCCTACAAACCAACAAGCTTTTGACCCTGAGCCCTTCCCAAATGTTAACTGTGACCTTTGATGATGCAAAAGGTGGTGCACTTGTATTTTGAATAATTATTGGCTGTTGGCTATGATTGGGTGATGTTTGGTCCCCTAGGTATGAATTATTTATTTATTCAAACATTCTATTTCCTAGAAATAAACTGAACTGTCATGAGATCTGCTGGCGTTGATTAGGTTACAGCACACATAAGCAGCGGTTTTCCCTTATGCACAATTAACTCTGATTATGATGATTTCTCTGTCTTACAAGAAGAAGAGGCCAGTGTAAGGAAGAGAGAATCTATTAAGCATAAGCTGTTCAAACAGTTTTTATATAAACTGGAGTAAAAATGTAATTGAGAGAAATTTCTGTTGGTGGATGAAACAGAATAAGCATATTATTTTACTTGTTCATAAATCTGTCTCACCTTCTCTCTGCATCCATCTGTATTTAAGTTATCCTTCACATTTTAATGCATTTTGTATGGAATTTCTGCTAATATAAGATGCATTTTATATATGCTGTTTGCTTCATTTGGACTTTTTTCTAACTTTTTATTGACATTTTTACAAGTATGAATACTTGTGGGAATAATTGGAAAGAAGTATAAAAATTATTCAAGTGTATAACTGCATGTACGTATGCACACATATACATGCAGAGAGACAAGAAAGAATGAGAAGATATAAATGCACGTAGCTACCTACAGGTACATATATTTCCCCATACCTCATCAAAGTCAGCAATGATCTCATTGAGCAGTCGGAGGCATTCAAGTCCTTCATGGTTGACATTGGATTCAGAATAAAATTCTTTGAAGTCCGGGATCGAAGCGAAGAGAACACAGACACAATCATAAGATTGATGATAGAGATCCTGCTGGCAGAGAAAGACTGAGAGTTATTCAAATTCAGCAATCCTTAAACTTCCACACCAAGGATATTCAAACTCTACCACCTACAGAATGATAGGAAAAGATTAAATTATCATTTCTTCAGTTGATGGATGGCAAATAGGTGATATATTAGATAGATAGATAGATAGATAGATAGATAGATAGATAGATAGATAGATAGATAGATAGATAGATAGATATGGATGGACAGACAGACAGATAGAAGATAGATAAATCTTCAAATTCTTGTCCCCTTCCTGGAAGATCAGAAAGGATAGTTTAACCATTGCAACACAGCTACAACAGATCCAATTCTTTGGATATGCTTGTCTTACCCCAAAACCAAATGGAGGTTTGAATACATGCTGGGCTGTGATGTTTTGGATCATGAGTCTCATGCTTGTAATGGCAGCCTAGAAACCCAAGAAGCCTCTTTTGTCAGCTCAGGTAAGGAAAATGCTGAACAGCAGCACAAGTTTTCTATTGCTTTATTTTATTTCATTACCAAATTTATATGGCTTTCCATCTCATGGAACGTGACTCTGGGCAGCATGCAACAATCCCATAAAACAATTAAATATATAAAGCAATTGTTATAAACAGCTACAAAACAATAAGAACAATCACTACAATTAAGAGGCAATTCCACCTCCACCCCCACCTTGCAACCTGTTTCCTCCCTCCCTGTCTTTTAATGATAATTTTATTTTGATTGTGATTTCCACTTTTAGCATTTTAGAAATATTAAAATTCTATTGTTTTAATGCTTTTAAGCCACCCAGAGTTGTTTTGATAGAAGAAGAGGAGTAAATAAATGTTATAAATAAATTACATAAAACCTAATAATTATTAATATCAGATCTGCCAGCACTTAAACCTCTAAATAAAAATGACCCTGGTCTTCATTTGTTGAGAAAGGTATAGTTTTATTAGAAATCAAGTGCATTGCAGTAGTGAATGACATGCAAAAATCCCTATGTTCATTTTTTCCCTCCTTTATATCTCATATCTCTGACTACCCATGGCAAATCAAGTTCAAGTAAGATGTTTTTGTTTGAGGGGTCCACGCAGGAAATGAGAGGCAGGACATGGGGAACTGGTAAACAGCCTTTATTTAAAAATCAGTTCAGAAAAAGCTGCTCAGCCTCGGCTGGCGCCGGCTTTTATAGCTGGTGCTGTTCAAAATTTCAGCTACTGACAGGACTTTGTTTTTCCCACCAGTGGCTGGGCCAATGAGTGGAGTCTACTAGCCGACTCCACTCCTTGGCCATATTTGGTCATATACAGCACCCTTCACCTCTTAGTTAGTGTTCCTCCAATCAGCACCCGCCTACCATATGTAATTGCATAAGTAGGTGGGGCTTTGATGGGCGCGACTGGACCTGCACACCTCACTTCCTGGGGCAGCAGCCCAAGTGGATGGGTCTGCTGCTGCTACGGTCCATGCCAGTGGAATCGTCTCAAAGCTTGTTACTGGCAGGGACCATCGAGCCTGACACCTCAGAAGGACCCCACGGGACTTCCTCTTTGCAAGATAAGTGTCTCTGTTGTTGTTGTTCAGGGATTTGTGCCTGTGGGGTTGGTGTTTGTGGCCTGGGTTGTTCAGTTGTTGCGTGTCAGGTGATTGGCTGGTTGTCTGTGCTCAGGACCTGGCCTCATAGCTGATCAATGTGTCATTCCTATAGCTTCCCTTCCTCCATCTCTACTCTGTAGGACCTTGGCCCTATGTTTGAAACAACTCTCGCTGGTGTGGTGGGTGTTTCCCATTTTCTGGGTCTCGCGGCCGGGGGTGCTGGCCTAGATTCTTGGCAATGTGTGCAAGTGGCAACCCAGGTTTCTATCTCATTGTCCATCCCCCATCACCATATGTAGTTTCTGGCTAGGGCTTTCATCCAGACTATTCCAGGGTGGTCCTCATGAAGCATTTCTAATATTTTATTTCTTAATGGGGGGAATTACTACCTGGTCCCCCCATAGTAGACACCCTTCAGTACTGACAGCTCGGCTTGCCTATTTTGGCATGGTTTGTATTCCTCCCCCTGTGGTGCCTCCAGCCATCCCCTCCACACCCAGTTCGAAATCTGTGCCATGGTTTTGTTGTGAATGGTGAGTCTCGCGATCTCTGTGGACGTCATCATCCCAAGCTGTATGTTCTCTATTAGTAGGACTGTCGTGGATGGCGCTGGGTCTTTAGTGGTGTCTGGAAGGGGGCAACGGCTGAGGGCATGGTTATGGGCAATGTCTGTCCCTGGCCAGTGGGTTAGCTGTAGCTGTATGTTGCCAAGAATACTGTCCATCTCAACATCCTGGGGGACAGGATGTTTGGTGTGGGTTTGTCACCAGCAAGAATGCCAAATAAGGGCTTATGATCAGTGATGAGGTTGAACTGACTGTGGTACACGTACTCATGGAAACGCTTTACCCCTGTGACCACAACAAGTGCTTCCTTGTCGATCTGGCTGTAATTTCTTTGTGTTTTAAATAGTGTCTTTGAGAAATAAGTGATAGGGGCTTCAGTTCTATTGGGTAGTTTGTAGCTGAGGACTGGAATCAGTAGCATCTCGCTGTATTGGATGAGAACACTGTCCGATGTTAAGATGCTTTTTATTTTTTTAAATGCTTTGGCCTTTTGTTGTCCCCAAGTCCAGCTCATCATTTTATCAAGCAGCCTGTGGAGTGGTTCCGCAATGGTCACTTGCTGCGGCAGAAACACATTGTAAAAGTTCAGCAACCCTAAGAATGCTTGCAGCTCTGCTTTGTTTTGTGGCATGGGGTCTTCCCGTATGGGCTTAAGCTTCCCGTTTGTGGGTCTGATGCCTGCAGCATCAATGAGAAACCCCAAGAATTCTACCTGCGGGACCACTATGTGACATTTGTTTCTCTTTAATTTCAATCCTGCCTCCTGGAATCTTTCAGGACTGCCCTTAGATGTTCCATCAATTGCTCCCTGCTGGTAGCTTAGACAATTACATCATCAAAGTAGGGTATTACTCCAGAGATGTTGTGCAGCAACCACTCCATGATACTCTGGAACAGGCCTGGGGCTATGCACTTGAATGTCACCCTGTGCATGACGATGGTTTACGCCTCAGCAGTAGCCTTGTTGACAGGTAGTTGCTGATATGCCTGGGTCAGGTCCAATTTAGAGAATATAGTCCCCCGGCCCAGGGAGTGTAGGAGGTGCTGGACTACAGGCACTGGGTAGGTGCTTTGCTGTAGCACTTTATTAAGGGTCATTTTATAGTCAGCACAGATTCGTATCGATCTGTCTGGCTTAACCGGAATCACAATCAGGGTCTCCCATTTGGCATGGTCTACCAGTTCTAGAACCCCGTGGGCTATTAATTTGTCCAGTTGTTCCTCGACTTTTGGTCGGAGGGCAAATGGGACTCACTGTGGCTTGAGGTGGGCCGGGGCGATATTGAGGCCTAAATTAAATGATATAGGGGTCCCTGTGTACTTGCCCAGTTTGTCGTCGAAGATGTTGGTGAATTCTCGTTCCAGTCCCACAATGTCTCTGGTTGGTCAGGGGGAAGGTCGTCTCTGTTGCGTGGATGCCAGCAATGCTTATCTGAAGTGGCAGAAACCATTGTCTACCGAGCAGACTAGGTAGGCTTTGGTCTACTATTGTGAGTGGTAGGCTTCTGCAGAAGGTGCCATACTCCATGCATGCAGTCTTTTTTCCCAGGACTGGTATGCGCCAGCCCTGGTAGTTTCTCAAAATAATGGCTTGAGGTTCCAATTGGTCGCACCGTTGCTCAGGTAAGAATTTTTTAAGGGTGTCCCACGATATCATGAATATATAGGACCTCGAGTCCACCTCCATATGGAAAGGTTTGCCCTTGATTTCAACCGTGGCCGTTATTTTGTTTGCTTCGAAAGCATCAGTGCATCTCACTCTGGCCTGCACTAACCCACGAATGTGAATTGGACTTCCTCTTCCCTGGAGTTTTCCCTCTTTTTGAATCTCTCACCATGGTTCTTCCACCCTCCCCCTTGGTGGCCATGTTGTTTTGCGGGCTCACTGGTCCTGCTTGCTCGTCAGTTGTGTCTCACGGCATACCTCTGTGATGTGGCCTCTACGTTTGCATCTCTGGCATACGGTGTCTTTAAAATGGCACACAGATCAGAGGTGGTTTCTGCCACTGCCACCACACTCTTGGGTTCCTGGTTTCCCACCTGACTTACTGGACCTCAGCTTATGTACATCTCTACCATCATCATCATCGCTGGTGTCAGAGGCAGACTCACTGGGCCTTGGCAGGCATTCAGTCCCAGTTGCATGGGCTCTTCCACTCCCTTGGATCCATGCCACTGAGCTGTCGGATGATTTGGCGGCTCTGGCTTCATCGATGGCTTCTTGGAAGGAGATGTCCTCGTGGGCCAGAATTTTCTTTTGTAGTGCGGGATCCTTTGTTCCTAGGATGATTCGGTCCCAGATCATCCCCTCAGTATCTAGGAATTTGCAGTTCTTTGCAATTCTGCATAGATCTGCCACAAATGAGTTGATCGTCTCTCCCTCTTTCTGGCTCCATGTGTAGAAGTTGTAGCCGCTGGCCAGATAGGACAGAGATGGGCCATAGTGACTATGGAGGGCGTGCTGGAGCTCATCCCAGGATACAATCTGTAGATTGTCCGCAACCAGGGCATTGGCCATTTCATAGATCTCAACATCGCAGTACATTAGGAAGAATGCCCTTTTTTGCGCATCGGGGGCTGCTTGAAGTCCGTTGACCTCCAGATGTAGGTTGAACTGGCCCATGTAGGATGATCATTTCTCCTTAGTGGGATCGTATGGGATGGCCATCGGGCAGTGGGCCAGGACAGTCATGCGCTGTGCCATGTTGTCAGTCAGTCACAGTTGTTCTTGGCAGTGCTTTGTCTGTTGGCGGCGGTTGAAATGGCACCGACCCCATGAAATGTCCTTTGTTCTCTCTGCAGCTCAGGATCCCATCTTTGTCACCAGTGTTCGAGGGGTCTGCGTGGGAAATGAGAGGCAGGATGCAGGGGACTGGTAAGCAGCCTTTATTTAAAAATCAGTTCAGAAAAAGCCGCTCAGCCTCGGCTGGCACTGGCTTTTATAGCCGGCACTGTCCAAAGCTTCAGCCATTGACTGGACTTCGTTTTTCCCACCAGCGGCTGGGCCAATGAGTGGAGTCTATTAGCCGACTCCTCTCCTTGGCCATATTTGGTCATATACAACAGTTTTCAGAATGGCAACTTCAAACGTAGGTTGGTATGCAACTCCATTCTTCTCCCAGCCAGATGGCCTTGAAGCAGCATCTTGGAGAGATGTAATAGTACTTTTATTCCCCCCACCCCCCAGCATTCTCCCTCCCCAGAGTTCATGGCAGGTTGTTACCATGTTAGTGAAGTACCCAAGCAAGCGTAAAGTGGCAGCTGACAAATAAGAACATTAAAAGCTATGAAAGCAGAACTAAAACAGGAAAAAAGACTAATAGAAAGGGGGTTGTTCAGGGGTGGGATTCTACTGGTTAGGACTGGATCATTGTTCCGATGATCAGCTTGCTCCAAACTGGTTCTCTGTGATGTGCATGTGGGCTCGCCCACCTGCCCCTGCTCTTTCCTGTGCTTTATCTCCTTTGTTTAGAGCACAGCTGATTCGTGTGGCAGAGCAGTATGGGCTTTTTCAAATGCAGAACATGCGCATTCATATCCAAAGTATGCAATATACCAGTGGAATCCCACCCCGGGGTTGTTAATAATAAAGAATCTACCTCATGAGTTCACTTGTCCTCAGGTGTCTCCAAGCCTGCTAGCATAACTTTATTCTGTGAAACTTCTTTTCCGGTAACATTGAATTGCTAACCAGGGCATATAAAATCTTTGCCAGACAAATTCTCAAATACAGCTCATCTGCCTGGAACCCACACTGTATATCGGACATTAACACGATTGAGCAGGTTCAAAGATATTTCTTTTGCAGAGTACTCCACTCCTCTACTCACAATAGAATTCCCTATGCCTCCAGGCTTGAAATTTTGGACTTGGACCATTTGGAACTGCATTACCTGCGGTCCGATCTAAGCATTGTTCACAAAATTGTCTGCTATAACATCTTGCCCACCAATGACTTCTTTAGCTTCAATAATACACGGCCAAACAACTGATACAAACTTAAAGTAAAGCGTTCCAAATTCGACTGAAGAAAATACAACTTCAGCAACAGAGTGGTCGAAGTCTGGAACACCCTACCTGACTCCATTGTTACAGCCTCAACCCCTCACAGCTTCAACCTCAAACTGTCTACTGTGGACCTCACCCCATTCCTTAAAAGTCCATAAAGGGGGTGTGCATAAGAGCATCAGTGTGCCTACCGCCTTGTCTTACTGTCCACATTTATCTGTATTTACTTCCTTTGTTCATGTTTATGTTCATACCTATACTTGTTCTACATGTTTGACAAATAACTAAATAATAAAATAATAAAATAAAATAAATAATTAACCAGATCTGCGGGGACCTTTAAAGCTCAGGAGTGATAAATCCAACCTCATACCTGGGGAAGAAGATTCTACAATGCGAATGCCACAGCAGAAAAGGGCCCACCAAATATTTGTCAGCTGCCCTAGATGATGGAATCTGTAACCTGTTTTGTTTCTGCAACCCAATTCAAGACCCAAACTTTAGCAGCCAACTTCAAGGTGGATTAAAAAGACCAAAAAAAAAAAAGGTTAAAAGATGAGCAAAATATTCCTTCCTGCCATCTTCCTTCTTGCTCCTCCAACCTGTGTTGGCAATGTGTCAAGAACCTAGCCAAATAACATTAGCATGGTTTGGCTTCACCTCTCTCTGTGGCATCATCAAGGAAATATCAACCTTCTAGGCTCACCGTATTGCACCGGTTCTGGCGAATGAACTGCTGAGCTACATCAGCTGGGAGAACATTTTCCAGCAGGACTCGGTTGAGATTCTCCATGGTTTCAATCTCTTCGCGTTCTTTCTTGAACTTCTTTTTCCAGAGAAAATCTAAGCGGCAGTAATACTCATTCTGAGAAAAAGAAGATTCAGTTTTGCAGTGAAAACCTTATCTTTTACAAAGCACTAGAGAATATTTTTAGCTCCAGGTTGAACTTTGAGTTTCCTTGATGCTCTCTGAGCTTGATGGATTTCTGGCAGATGTTTCATTATAACATCATCAATACTAGAAGGGTATGGGATTTGCTTTTATTGTTATATATTAATGGCTTGCCCTGTCAGGGTTGGTGGGAGTGTTCTTGGCAGTGCTTTGACTGAATAAATAATAAATATTATGCAACAATTTGAAGGATGGAATATACAAAGTCATAAACTTAGAAGTTATCAAAAAGTGTTGCTATCCCACACACTCCTGGAAAGTGGAGATTTAAACAATATATCCCCTCTCCCCAGGACCACAAATAATCTTAGGTCATTAAAACTACTGTAACTCTTAATAGAGACATATACGTTCTCCCCAGTCTTCAAGCACATTCATATAATATTTATATAAGCTACTGATATAAAGTTCAGTATGTCTCTGAAGATATGAAGTACCATATAGAAATACATTCATTTTTTTGCCCTGGTTGTTGTCTTGATCATGCCACCATTTTGCATATAGGAAAAATGTCCCACTACATCAAGCAGATTTTTCCCCAATTCTCTTCTACCTGAAGCTTCTTTCTGAAGCTTATTTTTTTTAATTTATTCATTTATTTAATGTATATCCTGCCTTTATTATTGTTATAAATGACACAAGGACAGCAAACATATCTGATATATCTTTCCTGTCTTATTTTCCCCAAAATAATCCTGTGTGGTGAATTGGACTGAGAGGTAGTGATTGGCTCAAGTCATCCAGCTGCCTTTTATGCCTAAAACAGGATTAGAACTTATAGATTTAGCCTGGTGCCTTAACCTTCTGAGACCACATCTCAGCAGACACACACAGAGTGAGATAAGATTGCATCAATATGACATGCACTGTGAATGTGTTACTGGCAATGTGTGAAAAGCTAGCACTGTATAGAATGCCTAGAAAATCTATCAAATGTTTTTAGACTAAAGGCTAAAACATACAAAGAATAGTTGCAGGAATTATGTATGTCTAGTTTAATGAAAAAAAGGACTAGGAGTGATATGATAGCAGGGTTCCAATATCTAAGGGGCTGCCACAAAGAAGAGGGAGTCAAGCTATTCTCCAAAGCACATGAAGGCAGGATAAGAAATAATGGATGGAAACTAATCAGGGAGTGAAGCAACCTAGATAGAACTACAGAGAAATTTCCTGACAGAGAGGACAATTAACCAGTGGAATGACTTGCCTCCAGAAATTGTAAGTACCCCATCACTGAAGGGTTTCAAGAAGAGACTGAACTTCCATTTGTCTGAAATGGTCAAGCAAATGGTTCGGCCAGATGACCTCCAGGGTCCCCCCACAACTTGCTATGCTATGCTATGCTATGCTATGCTATGCTATGCTATGCTGTGCTATGCTGTGCTACAATATGATAAATTTGTGGTTTTTATTAAGCAATAAAGTGATTACAAAGAAAAAGAAGGTTTGGGTTGTGCCTTTTTCCAATAATGAACCAATTTAGGTTCCAAGAAAAATCACTTTAAGAACATTGCATTTTGAAAAACCAGTTCTTACTTAAGATTGTATTTGAAACATTTTTTTTCTACCGTGCTCTATTTTTCATCAAATCAGTTACTGACTGCATTAAAACTCTCTCATTTGCAAATAAGAAGAACAAAGCCAGATTCCTGTAAAAACAGACAGCCGCTTTAACCACACTTGACCACAACTTTTTGAATGCTGGTGGAAAAACATTAGTAAAGATTTCCAAAGCCTCAAACCACAAAAGAGGAAAGGATGGCAGGATGTGAAAAGGTGACTTTGAAAGAGTGATGGGAAATTTGCCCTCCAATTTCACCCAAACCAACTTCCCCAAGGTGCATTTTGTGAGTGCAATACAGAGCCTGTCCTACTTCTTATCTGTAATAAAGGAGAACTTCCTGGTAAGACCAACGCAAGTATAGGTTTGTCACCCAACCTGAAGCTTATGTGACAATCCTATACTTTCGTTGGTCCTACCAGGAAGTTCTTCTCTATTGCAGATGAGAAATGGGGCAGGTTCTGTATTGTCACTCAGCCCTAAACTTATGAGATATGGAGAGATATGAAAGACAACAATCAAAGAAGTCGCATTCACAAACTGAATTAAAGTGGGAACTGGAGGAAACTCACCTGTCTAGCCAGACCCAATAGGGTGAAGAAGAAAACAAAGAATGAGAATGCTCCCATCACCTTCGGCTCCTTTAGTACCCCAGGTCTGAAAGAATGGAGTTACAGAGAACATCATTCCTGGTCTATTCTTCTAAAATGACCTTTTGGAGCACAATATATTCATCTTACCATACCACTCATATGATCTTTGCCAAAGTAACAGGAAGTCATTTCTAAACAGGCTGGGTCTTTATTCAGGCTAGTGCTATGTTAAATATTGCTCCCTATTTAGTTTTGTGAATTTGACAAGAGGAACCAAAGTCAAATGGAAGAAGTTGGTAAAAATGTCTTCTCTTTTCACTGCCCAGCAGTAGTTTTTTTTTTTTTTTAAAGATTTAACGTCTGTATTGTCTCTTTCCATGTCCTATTCCATATTTTTTTTTACAGTTATCAATCAACTACATACAATTATATAGCCATCTGACCCTCCTGTAGTCAACAGATCATAGAATTACATTCTTGGAAGGTACCATAAAAATCATCAGTGCAGGATTTTCAAGAGCAGGGGTGCTCAACCTTTTTAATTCTGGGGACCAGTGGTGGCAGCTGAAGCTTCAACAGTTTCAGCAGCAGCAGAAAGAATGTTTTTTGCACGTGTAACCAAAATCCAATGCATACACAAATGAAACTTCACACTCTTGCCTGCTGTTTCGGCAGCCTAGTTCCCAATGGGCAGTTGGCCAGGGATTGGGACCCCTGAAGTAGAGCATTTCTGACCAATGACCATGTAGAACCTGCTTTGAAGACCTCTAGTGAAGAGACTTCTTGATATGTAGCCTAAACCTTCTTCCTTGCACTTCTAATTCATTGGTCGTGAATCTGCTGTCCCATAATCTCATAAAGTATGTCTATTCCCTCTTCTGTTTGATAGTCCTTCAGAGAATTGAAGATGGCTGTCATATCTCCTGTCAGTCATCTCTCATATAAATTAATATGGCCAAACTTAGAAACAGTATTTTAAATTGAGTTAGATCTTTATCCCAAGCTCGAACAGTGGCTTACTGTGATCTGGACTCTATGCTCCTCTAAAGACACGCCTTTTTAGCAATTGCATCATAATGGTGGCTCATGTTTTATTCTTTTCACAGCCAAATTCTTTTTTACAGCCAAGTAATACTATTGATTGTTGCATGGATAAAAAAAGATGGAGAAACTAAGAATCATTTCATTTCTGCAACATGCATGGTTCTCTTCTGAAGCACAAAAAAGCCCACAGGCAACCATTAATCAAGGTGATATAACCTTCCCTCCCTATCATTGTTAGCAGAACTTGTATATTCCTGGTGAAAGACGAGGCAAAAATGTCTCTTGCTGTGATTTATGATTTTAGTGAATGCCTTAATTTATACAGTCATTCTTCAGAAGAGATTGTACTTCTCCTTTTTCTATAACTGAGAGCCAGGTGACCAAAACAGTTCTACTCGGTGTTGATTTCATTTATGTTTCATGTCATTTTTGTTGGTTTGCCTGCTTCTTTCATTTCATTTTTTTTCCCATCAGCACAAAAATATATGTGTGTTTTGTAATTTTATGAAGAAGATATATCAGTAATATTTTATCTATACCATTGTAATCTTCAATAACTTGAGGCTATAAATCAGGCTCATTAGTTTTCCAAATGTGGGGGGAAAATATATTTGAGGAATACTATTTCCTTTAATTCTCATAGAAGAAAGAACAAAATAAGAAGGTCTGACATAGTTTCAAGCCCACAAGTTACAGCTAAAAGCCACCTGGTGTGATAAATATACTAACCATGGATGTCAAACTTGATCGTGTCACATGTCGTATCATGATGTATTGTGAAACTTTTTGCCTCTGAGGAGCTGGGGTAGCTGTGGCCTGCACATAACACATCTGGCCTGCAGGCCACCAGTTTGACAACCCTGACCTAAGTAGTTCCTGATCATCTGAATCTATTCTTCAGTGAAATCAAGTTTAGGTGATTCATGTCTTCTAGGAACGGATGGCATCAAAGTAATTTTTCATCTAAACATAACCAAAATGTTTACTCTAAGGCAATTAAATTGTTGGATATGATGATATGCTTCCTTGGGCTATCAGACTCCTGAATGTAACATAACATCATAATTATGTAGTATGATAGACTCACAGGGACGGTGCAACATGTTCATTGCATTGGTGCAATATAATATAATGTTATGTTCTGCACATATATGTATAGAGGATTGTGTGTTTGTTAGTATGATTTACTGGATAAGGGATTTTCTTTTTTTCATTGTGAGTTATTGAGATGCATTTGTGTTGGGGGGTTGCACTGAGGGAGTGCAACTTAGCCAACTTCATTGTACACATGTTGTGCATTGACAATAAAGGTTTGAATTGAATTGTGAAAGATGAACATCCACAAGAAACCATCAAAATCACATAATCTCAAGAGTATTTGTCTGAGTTCTACAACAGCCATGCTATAAGAACACATGAAGATACCTCTTGGGTGAAACCAAAAGTCCTTCTAATCCAGAATCAGATTTCCAACAGTCCCCTAGCCTGATGTTTTGGGGACTTTCTTAAGCAGATCCTGAGTCAACAAACTTGTGTTGTTACCTTCCAATAATGTATATTCATACTACCCTTCTTGGATCATGATCTTCTGTGAAGGCTTCAAAGACAATGGCCTCAATGAATATCTGACCATTAATCTAATCTTCCTTTAAAAGCCACCTAGCCAGATGGGCATAACTTTAAACATCTCCCAAATCATAACAGTGTCTGTTAACCAGCTTTTACATTGGCGGTGGTGATGGTGCTATCATTGGAAGGAAGTTGCTACAGCTCCTTGATCATTTCTATTGTTCTTTTCTGCATCACTTATGTCATGCTCCATTAAAATGGGAGCCATTTAACCCAGAAACCAGGAAGGAACATTAATCAAGAGGGATAACTGGTAGTCTTTCTGCTTTTATTCTGGGAGAACTCCATAGGCTAATTACCTGAGTGCAGTTTGGTTACGGTAGAGCTGAGTGACATAGAAGTCAGAGAGCCAGGAATGGGTATGAAGGAACAGCACATTGTAGACAACAAGGCAAAGTATCAGCATGGTCAGCTTGAGCTCGAAGTTCATGTGGAGGAAGAGAGAACATGAGAGGAATCCTAGGACACAGCAGTAGATATAATACTAAGGGAGAAGAGAAAGAGGGAGAAGGAGGGAGAGAGAGGGGAGAGAGGTGGGAGAGAGAGAGAAATGGGAGGAGGAAAAAGAGAAGTTATTGGTGAGATTGGTACATCCATTAATCAAAAGAATATAAAAAGATAATTGATTAAAGAGATCAACCTTACCGGCACACTGAAGAGGGAGTTAAACCGAGAGAATTCCTGTACAATATTCATGCTTGATAAGGTAGAATTTTCAAGTTTCACAAAGCATGAGGTTTCTGGCATAAAGAACTACGAAGCAGAATTAGAGAGCACATTAGAAGGGAAGAGGGGATAGAAATCCTTCTGATCTGCACTAGATAGTAGAAGCTATTCCAGGGATTCAACAACCCCTTTCTGTTTCTTGGGAATAGCATCAGTGTGGTAAAAGCAATATATCACAGTGGCCTCTATCAATGGCCAGAGAAGGAATATTGGTGGGTATTCATCTTGAATCCTTCCAGTATCTTTTACATTCAGATTACTGGAACAAAGTCCAGATAGAGAATCAATACTTTTACCCCATTGTAGATTGAATTGATTGCACATCTAGCAACATTAGCAGAAACAGGGTTGGATGGAGTGATCCTTAGATGGAAGACTAACAGGAGATCCCAGAGGTATATGTTAGATTGGGAAGAGGGTGGAGATTTGTTCTCTAAGTTTGTGGGTTGGTTTCAAAACATTTTGTTACCAGGCTAGATAACATCTTCAGAGAGTTTAGAGCAGGGATGTCAAACTCACACCGTCAAGGCAGCATCATGTGACGTATCGGGACTTTTTCAAGAGTAGTTTGCTGGGGGTTCTCAGAGGTTTGGGAGAGCCCCTAGCTAAGATTCTGTGCAATTTGAGAACTCCCAAATCCTGCTACTGGCTGGCCCCACCCACCCTACCCTTCTCCCAGGAGTCCCCAGGTGGCCCGTTTTGAATGCAAATAAGTGCAGGACTCATGCAGAGGCTCAGGGAGGGTGAAAAACGGGCCTCCCGGAAGTTTGAGAAGGCCAGAAATGGGCCCATTTCTGGCTTCCAGAGACCCCCACCATGGTGCAGGAGGCCAACTAGGCCATGCCCACCATGGCCACGCCCACCCAGTAACCAGTCAGAGACCCCTTTGCTAAAAATTTTGAAGCCCACCCCTGGACTTTTTTCCCCTTCACTAAATTGGGTGGTGATGGGACCAGCACGGGATGCATCTGGCCCGCAGGCCATGGTAAGAGAATCTCCTAAAATCCACTGAAGATGTTACCTAGCCTGGTAACGAAATGTTTGGAAACCAACCCACAAGCTCGGAGAATGAACCTTCACCCTCATCCTATGCCCAAGCTACAGATATTAGCCACTATTGCAAAGTCTGGAAATTGACAAAGCATCCTGAAAGAAGGCAGTGGTAAACTACTGTGGTCCCAGTGCCATAAATATAACATATAGAACTCAAGCACAATTTGGAATAAACTTCGCTTTTGAAAAACATATGTGAATACAATTCATTCTTTCATCTATGAAGCCTCTTAGCACTGATTGGCAACTCCACATTAAAATTAAATGTACTTTGGCTCTCCTGGGCTATAAGGAGTTCTTCCCAGGTATCTTGAACCTTTCTTTCCTCTTCCTCCCCCTTCCCAATATTCTATTTCTCTCTCCTTCCCATTCACTAGCAACATACCAAGTTCAACACTGACATTGTGAGAACCACAAGAATGGTGATGATGCCCAAGGAGACACGTAGCCATGGTTGAATGCAAACATTGGCCAAGATGGATGGAATCCAATACAAGATCTTGGGACCTTTCAGGAAACATTTCTGTATGTAGCAAAAACAAAAAAAAAACAAAAAAAAAAACAATATAACCACCCATAGAGCCAAAATGTTGGATTCCTTTCTGTTACTACACCATCAATCTTCTCTGGACATTAAAAAGTCTATTTAAAAATAAGAATAATATTTCCCAGAAGACAAAAGCCATATTGGCTTATTCTATTTTAATATTTGTTTGTGTATGGAAATTGTACAAAACAAAACAAAATAAAATGGAGCTCACATTAAAAATAATGACCAAAACCCATCAACACATGAGGGGTGCTCTCTGAGCTTGGTTGTTTTCTTGCAGATATTTCATTACCCAAACTAGGTAACAACCAGTGGTGGGATTCAAACATGTTTACTACCAGTTCTGTGGGCATGGCTTGGTGGGAATAGCTTGGTGGGCGTGACAGGGGATAGATAGTATAAAAACTCCATTCCCTCCCCACTCCACTAACCTGCTTTCCAGCTCTGTTCTCCTGTGCAGGGCAACAAAAGAAGACCCTAACCGATCAGCAGGGACTTGGAAGGCAGAAAATAGATGGGGATAGGGGTAGTCAGAGGTGGTATTTGCTGGTTCTCCAAACTATTCAAAATTTCTTCTATCGGTTCTCCAGAACTGGTCAGAACCTGTTGAATACCACCTCTAGTAGCATCCTCAGTGCTAGTCTAGACTAGCAGAAATGACTGCAAGGAAACAACCAAGCTTAGAGAGCACCAAGGACCCCTGAGCTACAAATATTCTCCTTTATTGGTTCCCATGAATACAATAAAAATCAACAATACAGGAACAAAAATACAATAAATTAATATACAGAATTGTACTGCATATGTCTATTTTTTCCCTTGGGCTCAATTATGTGGGAGCATCTTATTCAGTTTGGCAAACTGTGCCCATATAACAGCTTTGTGGAGGCATTTAGACAATTAGGTATGATCTATGTGGGGATTTTGTAAGCTACTTCTCCCAAGTAGGAGCTGAGTACCCAAAGTCATACACCATTCTGACTATTTTTTAATATGGATTGTAAGTAAGAGATGACTTCCCCCTTCACTCACATTTTTCTTGTAGAAATATGCCTACACCTCAGCTCTGCTGAGTCCAAGGGCCAAGACATAGGAGAGTTTAAACACTGTTAGGAATCTGCCCACCAATTAGTTGGGTTGGCAATATATAAACCAACAATGTATGTTTGTAGCTTTAAGACAAAATCACTGTGTTAATTTATACTATATTCCGATTGGTTGATTATATTGCAAATTACCATAAGAGGGAGCTAGAGATCATAGCTTGCTCTCTCTGACATTCTGTCTCTCTGACATTTTGTCTCTCTGACATTCTGTTGCTATCTAAGGTTCTCTGTTGTATTTATTCTGTGCTTATGCTTTGACATTTTTGTTTATTATAAATGACAAAGGCAACCGGTAAGAAGACTTTGTAATTGGATATTCTTTGGACTGAAAAACGTATATGACCTGGACTGTTTATTGCACTGTGCTATTTCTTAAAGTAAACTTTAACTCAATTTAGTGTATCTGTATGTGGCTGGATAATTATTCATAACTATTCTCATAAACATTTCCATGTGCATATCCTCATTACTCAAGGGTTATTTTGTACATATCATAACAAACACTTTTGATACTTCTTGCAAATGACCTTGCTCCCTGGAAATCTGCCCTCCCTGGAAGACTTAGCCAGGTCCCGCTGCCAAAGCAGAATCAAGGCCATTATAGAAGACCCGTTACACCCTTGCAATTATTTTTTTGACCTGCTGCCATCTGGATGGCGTTTTAGGTCAATAAAATCCCACACCACTACACTAACAAATAGTTCCTTTCCCTGGGCCATCCGAACTGCAAATAAACATGAAGTCACTACCAGATTAAGATGTGAAAAGATGTGAAATCTCAATACCCCATTCAGAGAGCTTAGAGACATATTACAGTACAATCCATCTCTTGTGTATTATACTCGGCTAAGCATTACAGTCAGTGTTGGATGTATATTTTGTGTATATTCATAGATATTGTACTCTCAAATTGCAAATGGAGATGTGAGTACTCTGTCTTTCTTATCTTCATTTTTAAGTACTTTGGTTTTATTGTATTGTGAACAGTTGCTGGGGTGCATCCACAGTTTCGTTGTACCTGTACAATGACAATAAAGTTCTTCTAATTCTAATTCTAATTCCATTTCAAAACCTAACCCTAGAGACAGCTTCCAACCAGTCCCAAGAATATGAGCATCTTTTAAATTTGTCTGCAGAAGCTATGGCCCAAAAGTTAGAATGGGCTACATAGCTACAATGGCCCTGCTCATTGCCTGATTAGAGATCCCCATGAGGTTCTCTTCTGAAGTATCCCCTCCAGAGACTTACCGCCAGGTGACCAGCAAAGCAGGTGAGAAGGAGGAGAAGAAACAGGAAGAAAGAAATTCCATAGGAGATCCCCAGTGCTTTTGTTCTAGATGGAAAGAATAAATGAGGAATCCAGTTTGCTGGCATTTGTGTAATTCAATGTTTATTTTTGCTTTTATTGATCTTGAAGAAGAACCACCCATTGAGGTAATGACCTCCTGGCATTTTGTGCTGGTTAAAGTCTTGCCATAATCAATTTACTTGAGCATCCATGAGAGCTAGAAACTCATTCATTTTCAGTCTCATATATCGGTTGCCACATAGATCTTCAAGTGAGAAGTGGCCTTTGATAATTTTCTCCCTGCGTGACTTAGCACAAACCTACTATTCATTTCTGTACACATGTTCTGCTCAAAACATCTCCAAGCTGGTGCCCTCCACAAAAGTGGAATTAAAAGTATTCCTGTGATCACGAGAGACTAGAGGCTCAAACATACAATGAATGGTTGCAGGAACTAGGCATGGCTAGTCCAGTGAAGAGAAGGACCAGGGGAGACATGATAACAGTGTTCTAGTATTTGAGGAGCTGCCACAGGGAGGAAGGGGTCAAGTTATTCTCCAAACCACCTGAAGGCCAGGCAAGGAATAATGGATGGAAACTGATAAAGGAGAGATTCAATTTGGAAATAAGGAAGAAATTTCTGACCGTGAGAGCAATCAACCAAAGAAACATCTTGCCTTCAGAAGTTATGGAAGCTTCATCACTGGAAGCTTTCAAGAAGAGACTAGACTGCCATTTGTCAGAAATGGTGTAGGGTCTTCTGCTTGGGCAGGGGGTTGAACTAGATGACCTACAAGATCCCTTCCAACTCTGTTAATCTGTATCTGTATCATGCTGACTGGAGGATTCTGGGAATTGCAATCCAAAGAATATTATGGAATTTTAAGGCTTTGGCCTTACAGTTACACTCCTGAACACACATGCTGCTTAGCACCCATACATTTTAAGGAGAGTATGAGCCTCAGTGGTGCAGTGGTTAGATTACAGTACTGCAGGCTACTTCTGCTGACAGCTGGCTGCCTCCAATTTGGCAGATCAAATCTCTCCAGGCTCAAGATTGACTCAGACTTCCATCCTTCTGAGGTGGATAAAATGAGGATCCAGGTTGTTGGGGACCATAGGCTGACTCTGTAAACTGCTTGGAGAGGGCTGTGAAGCACTATAAAGCAGTATATAAAGTCTGAGTGCTATTGCTATTCATATTTCAACAGGTAGAATCACCCCTAGTTTGGGCCAGTCCTGTCTGGATTAACTACCCATTCCCTATTGCTCAATTCCTCCTTACTTATAAACGACAAGGATCTGGATGAGAAAGTTGGAAACGAAGACAAGGAAGCTGCAGGCCGTATAGTAATTAAAAGATGGCAGTGGTGAGAGGCGGTACTGCAAAAAAAAAATAAAGAGAAAGAGAGAGAGAGAGAAATTGAGACAATTATTCAGGTAGTCCTCGACTTATGACCACAATGGAGCCCAAAATGTATGCTGCTAAGTGAGAAATTTGTTAAGTACATTTTGCCCCCATTTTATGATCTTTCTTGCCACAGTTGTTAAGTGAATCACTCCAGTTCTTAAATGAGTGACACGGTCGTTAAATAAATCTGGTTTCCCCATCCACTTTGCTTGTCAGAAGGTCACAAAAAAAGATCATGTGACTCCGGGATGCTGCAACTATCATAAATATGAACCAGTTGTCAAGCATCAGAAAGATTACATTATAAATAATGTGATGCTGCAACGTTCGTAAGTATGAAAAATGGTCATAAGTCACATTTTTCAGTGCCGTTGTAACTTTGAATGGTCACTAAATGAACTGTTGTAAGATGAGGACTACCTGTAATCAGCAAATAGAAATATTGGTTCTAGATCACTGCCTTTGCAGTGATCAGATTATCCATTTTGTGTTAATTCCTGTTGATGTTGAGAACCATAGGCTTCCCAACATCAACATTTTAAATCATTGTTTATACTGATTTAATAACTTTTTTAGCTTGAATGGTATAAATGTAAACAGTGTTATAATAATCTCCTGGCCAATACTGTAAAAACAGCACTGTATCAAAATAATATAATGTATTCTTCTTCTTTTATAAGAATATAACAAAATGTTCTTTTAAAGAAAGAAATAATCACATTCCTGTCTTTTATAGTGTACCTCCTTCTCCAAAGATTCCTGCTTGAAGTACAATGTGATGCAGTTGAAATCTTCAGATTTCTTCCATTGCCTACACAAAAGAGAATAAGCACACCTAGAGTGAGATTTCCATCAATTGCCATGACAATATTCATTTCCACTATTGGCACGACAGCATTCATTCATTCATTCATTCAAATTCAACACAACCGAGTGACTCTGGGCAGCTTCTAAGTTTAAAATTTTAAAACAATTACAAGTAGTCCTCGAATTACAACAGTTCATTTAGTGACTTTAGTTACAATGGCACTGAAAAAAGTGCCTTATGACCATTTTTCACACTTACAATGGTTGTGGCATCCCTACGATCACATGATCAAAATTCAAACACTTGGCAAGTGGTTCATACTGATGACATTTGCAGTATCCTGGGGTCATGTGATGCCTTTTTGAGGCCGGCTGACAAGCAAAGTCAATGGGGAAGCCAAATCCACTTAACAACCTTATTACTAATTTAACAACTGCAGTGATTCACTTAACAGCTTTGGCATGAAAGGTTATAAAATGGGTAAAATTCACTTAATAACTATCTCACTTTAGCCATGGAAATTTTGAGCTCAATTGTGGTCATAATTAAGGACTACCTGTGAAATAACTTAAAATACAGTAAAACAATAAAAACATCCACAAAATAAATAATATTTATTTATTCGATGTCTATAGCCACCCAACCACATTGGTTGTATCTTTGATCCACCATGGCCAACTCACTGCACCCAAGTCATTGTTGGCCAACTCACCACAACCAACTTGCTTTGGTCAATTCCCTAAGTTAACTCACCATGGCCACCATGCCACAGGACAATTCAACAAATATAAAAGTTAAATTACAGTCAGTAGAACTATGTCCAATAATAATTAAATAAATAATTCAATCCAGAAATACAAGAGTTACAATAATTTAGATGAAAATGTGGTCACCAATAATAAAATGTAAATGAATGGAACAATTAATACAGCATTGAATTGTTCAGCAGTGAGTTGTCCTGCAGCAAATTGGCCATAGCAAATTATTTTGGGTAAGTTGGCTGAGGCAAATTTTCTCATGGTGAGCTGGCTGCAATGAGTTGGCTACAGTGAATTGTCCTAGATCCTCTTGTTCTATTAAATCTCCTTGTCTAATTAAAGAGCCATGGTGGTACTGTGGTTAGAACGCAGTACTGCAGGGTATTTCTGCTGACTGCCAGCTGCCTGAAATTTGGCAGATCAAATCTCACCAGGCTCAAGGTTGACTCAGCCTTCCATCCTTCTGAGGTGGGTAAAATGAGGACCCAGATTGTTGGGGGCAATAGGCTGACTCTGTAAACTACTTAGAGCGGGTTGTAAAGCACTGTGAAGTGGTATATAAGTCTAAGTGGTATTATTATTGCTAAGGAATAATTGCTGTCTCCATTCCTTTAAAGAAGAGAATTTCTGTGGAATTTTCACAGGTATTATTGTATTTTTTTAATGCCAAGATAACTAAAAGATATAAATTTGCAAAATTCCCCTCTGATTACATACTTCTTATTCTGGAAGCCTATGATCTCCTGGGCTTATACTACTTGTATTCACTTTTTAATTTCCAGTAGTGGAACATTTATCATTGCAAAAAAGAAGTCCTACCCTTGAGGTTAGTGCTATTATTATTGCTAAGGAATAAAAGATCAGCGAAATGGGCCATCTAATTTTTGTGCCTAGAAATGGAGCTGAGGATTTTGAGAAAATGTTTCTGCTGAGCATTATTGCACTTGCTTTCAATAATATGACACTTCTTGATGTCCCAACTCATTCAGATTTCCAGGGTATTGAAGCCAAATGTAACAAGACAAATGTCACACCCACAGATCAACTGTTATTTTCTTGACACTTGCCCTTCATAGTATTTGTCCCTCCATGTTTCTTCATCCCTATTTATTAAAGATAATCCTTGATTGTTTTAAAATTGGGCCTTGCCAAGAAAGCAAACAAGCACACAAAACTTTCTATCTCCAGTTTTGATGTTTTGAAGATTCATTGTCTGAAATTTAGCACAATGATTGCTAGAACTTAGGTTCCCTCTCCAAAATGTTTTGAAGTTAATGCGCAGAGGGGAAATATCAGCAATTGCAATGATAAGGCAATGAGGAAATATGCACTGCAACATCAGGATGCAAACTCCACCTCTTACAAACTACCACACAACATTGAAAGAGTGGAGCTTGTGTCATGGAACACAATGTATTTCAGTACTACTTATTATGGAGATGACACCTCTGTTGGGAAGTTGAGACATTTTTCAACTCGAAGGACCTCTAAGGAGGATCTTTCCTCTGATCTCATTTCTACCCAACCAACACAACTTCTTGATTTCTTTTCATTGACCCCAAAACGCACTTCTGGGAATTCAGCTGTTCAATCAGTTGGAAGAACTTCTCATCCACACCTTCCAAGTCTTCATCTGGACTCCTGGGGGCACGGCACCTGAAATCCAATATGGAAAAGAAGGAGGAGGAGGAGGAGGAGGAGGAGAGGAGGAGGAGGAGGAGGAGGAGGAGGAGGAGGAGGAGGAGGAGGAGGAGGAGGAGGAGGAGAAAGAAGAAGAAACTAGGCTACTCAACATAATTTAATTCAAACAAGGTGCAAGAGATAAATTTCTTCAAGCTGAGTTTCTGAATATGATTAATCCTTCTGAATATAATATGTATACCTGTATTGTATTTGACAAGACAGAAGTGAGTTGTCTCATATACATATACTTACACACACACACACATACACACACAAATACATTGTATACACATCTGATTGTCTCTCTGGGTTAAAATTCTGCCATCTCCTGGTAGTTACTGTTTAAGCACTAATCCAACCCTGCTGCTCTTCAAGATCAGCCAACTCTAATTGCCAATGTGTGTTGGTATATCAAATATTTGAGAACAATGCTATGTGTTATAAACCAAATTCCTAGCATGTATCAATGGCTCCAAGTAAATGGACGGCTATCTTTTATTAGGAAGCTAGAATTATTAGGGAAGCCATAGAGATTGAAAAAAGACCTGAAAGCATGAATAGAAGAGATGATTCCACTAGACTGTAATTTTTTTGGAAGCTTGCACTCACAAAAAAATAATCTCCACACCACAAGCCAGGCAAACACCTGGGCACAAACAGATCCCCGCTGATACCTCCAGCTCAAACACACCCCAACCAGGCACCCAGATGAAACCTAGCCTCCTAACAAATGATAGCCATCCATTTACTCAGAGCCAAGTTGCACTAAAAGCCTCCAATACAGGAACACAACGTTGCCAGCCAATCCAGACAAAAAAAGCCACAAAACAGACAGAAGATATTAGAAACACCAATCAAGCAGAACACAGCAAACTCCAAGACCAATAAACACAGACCAAGACTCCCAACCGATCAGGAATGAAGAAAAAAACCATTCTGGCACAGCATAGGCTAACACCAAATTTAAAACTGAAACGGCTGTGGAAGTCTGACTCACAGACGAACACAATACAGAAGCCTGATGATGGCAGGTAAGATTCTGCCAAAATGTTGCTACAACTTTAAAAGCACAACTATAATGATGTGGGAAAATACCTGAACAAAGCTTAATACCATACATGTAAGTACCCGCGAAAACTTAAGAAAACATATATATATACACCATATATACAATACCCGAGCAAAGCCGAATGCCATATATATATATATGGCAGATGAGATTCTGCTGAAATGTCATGTGTGTGTGTGTGTGTGTGTGTGTGTGTGTGTGTGTGGCATTCAGCTTTGTTCGGGTATTTTCCCACGTCATTGTAGTTGTGCTTTTAAAGTTGTAGCAACGTTTCGGCAGAATCTCATCTTCCATCATCAGGCTTCTGTATAGTGTGTGTATATGTGGTTGGGTCCATGTTTATGGGTTTGTATGTGGAGTCCCAACCAATCAGGATGAAGAAAAAACCATTCTGGCACAGCAGTAGGCTAGCCCGAAATTTTAAACAGAAACGGCTGTGAAAGCCTGACTCACAGAAGAACATTATACAGAAGCCTGATGATGGCAGATGAACAAAGCTGAATGCCATACATGTAAGTACCCATGAAAACTTAAGAAAACATATATATATCTTTGAGTTTTCTGTGCTGTTAAGTTAGGTAAACATGGAGCATCTTATCAACTTCCAAACCTTGCAAGATAATATGTTATCAATTCCACAAATCCTTTATAACTCCTACACATTCTCCATTGTGTCACTATTAGATTAACATCTCTTAGCTTGCTAACTTTTATATCTCTAGACTCTACAGATTGCTAGAACCATGATCACCAACAAAACTGAAAAGAGTGTGATTTCATATGATTTCTTCAATTTCTTTTTTTTTTAAAGAAAACTATTTGGTTACATCCATTTTTTTTTATTTCACTCTACAAAACAATCTTCTCGAACGTAATGTCTTCCAGATGTATTGCATTAACTAGAGACGTTTATTTGTGATTATACAATTTATCTGGAAGGAATCAGACTGGAGAAGTCTGGTTTAAAACCAATATTTCTTCTTACCGTTCCACGGTCAAAGATCCCAAAGAGATATCCTGCAAGAAGACAGAAAACTCCAATGCATTATAGACATTCTTCACTTACGATAATGTAGGAATAGTGCTAACGATTGAGCAATAGAGGTCAGATTAATAATCTGGAAAATATTGCTTCATTTCAAGAAATGTTGAATATTGTAAGCATTAGCTATAATTGTTCTGTTTTTGAAAGTAATTACTTTTGAAAGTAATTTAGGTATTAGAACAAACTATTTGGACCTATTCTAATACTACAACATTTTTGGCTTAAAATCAACAGAAATTTAGTATACATTTTAATATATAGTAATGGATTGCGTATCTTTCTTGTTTGTCAATATCTGAATTAAGATTTTTTTTTTTTGGCAAATGGGTAACGAAAAAGACTTTTGAGTAATATGATCATGAATTCATTGATTGACTGGAGTTATTTGTCTTATAATAATAATTTTCAATCATCTTTCTTTCCTTTCTCCTCACCCATTTTTATAAAATTTCTAAAATTCTCAATTTAGCCTCAATATTTTGGATTTTGCTCATAATTATTATTTGCAATTGCTATTGCAAATATCATTATATCAATATATACCTATATCTATCTATCTATCTATCTATCTATCTATCTATCTATCTATCTATCTATCTATGTGTGTATGTGTGTGTGTTTGTGTGTGTGTGTGTTTTCTTAAGTTTTTGCGGGTATTTATATGTATGGTATTCAGCTTTGTTCAGGTATTTTCCCACGTCATTATAGTTGTGCTTTTAAAGTTGTAGCAATGTTTCGGCAGAATCTCATCTGCCATCACCAGGCTTCTGTATAGTGTTCATCTGTGAGTCAGACTTTCACAGCCATTTCTGTTTTAAATTTAAATCTGCTTTAAATTTTAAATTTTTAAATCTCAAACAAAAAAATCTCCACACCACAAGCCAGGCAAACACCTGGGCACAAACAGACTCCCCCTGATACCTCCAGCTCAAACACACCCCAACCAGGCACCCAGATGAAACCTAGCTTACTAATAAATTATAGCTATCATTTACTCAGAGCACAGCAAACTCCAAGACCAATAAACACAGACTAAGACTCCCAACCGATCAGAAATGAAGAAAAAAACCATTCTGGCACAGCATAGGCTAACACCAAATTTAAAACTGAAACGGCTGTGGAAGTCTGACTCACAGACGAACATAATACAGAAGCCTGATGATGGCAGGTAAGATTCTGCCAAAATGTTGCTACAACTTTAAAAGCACAACTATAATGATGTGGGAAAATACCCGAACAAAGCTGAATACCATATATGTAAGTACCCGCGAAAACTTAAGAAAACATATATATATACACCATATATACAATACCCGAGCAAAGCCGAATGCCGGCTGCTCTCAACTTTGATGGTGTTCGGCCATCATGTTCTCTGACAGCCTGGTTTCCTTTTAGCAATAGCACTTAGACTTTTATATCACTTCATGGTGCTTTACAGCCCACTCTAGACAGTTTACAGAGTCAGCATATTGCCTCCAACAATTTGGGTCCTCATTTTACTGACCTCGGAAACATGGAAGGTTGAGTCAACCTTGAGCCAGTAAGACTCAAACTGCCAAACTGCAGGCATATGGCAGTCAGCAGAAGCAGCCTGTAATATTTCATTCTAACCACTGCACTCTTTTACCACTAAGTATTCCCAACATAATTGCTTTCTCCAATGAATTCTACCACATGATATATCCAAAATAAATGAGATGCAGTTTTGTGATTTTATTGTTCCTTCCAGTGATGTGTCATGGTGTTATGCATTTGAATCCTTCCTTGTTGGTCACCTTTGCTATCCAAATATATCTGTGTTCAAGAGGATACTAAAATGTGAAATGATCTGAAATTCACAGACATCTTGTCCTGCTACAGAAAATGGAACAATGAATAGTTTAGCTAGGGAAAGGAAGTATTTCTCCTGCTAGGCATACCGAATGGTTATTCCGAACAAATCCTGATGGTTCTGCTGGGAGATTGTCCAGAGGTTTGAAGTTGGCAAAGGGTTTGGCAGCTCCCCATGATTCTAGATAGCGAGTCATCCGTACAGAGGCCCTCATCATGAAGCTTTCACCTGGTGCTGGTGAGAGAATGTCACGAGAACCTTCTTCTTCAGCCTAAATATCAAATAAACCAGAAATACAAGGAAGGCTCGTGAGTGGCAAATCTCACCCTGTTTGAATTTGATTAGATTAATAGGAGAACCAGTAGCAGAAATGTTGAGTAGTTCAGCAAACTGGCAAATAGCACCTCTGACTGGAGATTTTACAGTGTCCTCCCTCTGCCATGCCCACCAAGCCATGCCCACAGAACCAGTAGTAAGAAAAATTGAATCCCACCACTAGTTGGAAGGGACCTTGCAGGTCTTCTAGTCCAACCCACCACCCAAGCAGGAGACCTGACACTATTTCTGACAAATGGCAGCCCAGTCTCTTCTTGAAAGCTTCCAGTGATGAAGCTCCCACAACTTCCAAAGTCAAGCTGTTCCACTGGTTGATAGTTCTCACTATCAGAAAATTTATCCTTATTTTCAGGTTGAATCTCTCCTAGATCAGTTTCCATTGATTATTCCTTGTCTGGCCTTCAGGTGCCTTGAAATACAGCTTGATCCCCTCCTCTCTGTGGCAGCCCTTTAAATATTGGAACACTGCTATCATATCTCCCCTGGTCCTTCTCTTCACTGGACTAGCTGTGCCCAGTTCCTGCAACTGTTCTTCATATGTTTTAGCCTCCAGTCCCCTAATCATCTTTGTTGCTTTTCTCTGTACTCCTTCTAGTGTTTCAGCATCTTTTTTTTTATAGTGTGGATGCATTTTTCTAGGTGTGGTCTTACCAAGGCTTTATAGAGTGGTATTAGTACCTCATTTGATCTTGATTATATCCCTCTGTTAATGCAACCTTGGATTGTTTTGGCTTTTTTGGCTGCTGCTGCATACTGCTCGCTCATATTTAACTGGTTGTCCACTAAGACTCCAAGATCCCTCTCATAGTTACTGCTATTAAGTCTGGTTTCAACCAGTCTATATGTGTACTTTTGGTTTTTCTTGCCTAAGACTTAACTTTTCTCTACACTGAATTTTATTTTGTTAGATAGGGCCCATTGTTCATGTCTCTCAAGATCCATCTGGATCTTGAGCCTATCTTTTAGGGTGTTAGCCAGTGGTAGGATTCAAATAATTTAACAACTGGTTCTCTGCTCTAATGATTTCTTCCAACAACCAGTTCACCAAACTGCTCAGAAAGTTAACAACCGGTTCTCCCAAAGTGGTGAGAATTGGCTGAATCCCACCACTGGTTTTAGCTATTCCTTCCAGCTTAGTATCATCTGCAAATTTGGTAAGTTCCCCTTCTATTCCCTCATCTAATGTTAGTGAAAGTGTGTCTACTTTCAGTTTTAAATGAATTTCTGTATGCTATAGCCATGCAGAATCAGGGCAGGTTATAACACTGAGATGGTGATAAAATTCCCCAAGAACCTTATCTGACTTTTTTGCAAAATAAAAAGGTTTCCTTATGACTGACCCAGACCTCAATATGGTATCAGAATACTTCCATGTAGAATCTCTCAGCAAGGTTGCAAACATTCCTGCCTAAGCAGTGGGTTGGACTAGACCTCCAAGGTCCCTTCCAACTCTGTTATTCTATAGTCTACATTAGATCAAATCATTTTTGTATTTAATACAGGTAATCTTTAGCTTACGACCACATTTGAGGCCAAAATTTCTGTTGTTAAGTGATACATTCATTAAGTAGGTTTTGCCCCATGTTATCTTTCTTGCCACAGTTCTTAAGTGAATCACTGCCATTGATAAATTAATAATTTGGTGGTTAAGTGAATCTGGCTTCCCCATTCACATTGCTTGTCAAAACTTCACAAAAAGTGATCACATGACCTTGGGACTACCTGTATTTCTCTGGGATTTTAGGATGAAATTGTCCCACCACCTATTGCCCAATTATTTTACTCAAGAATAATTGTATGAAAATTCTGCAGCATCCTTCATCACTGGCCACATTAATTGGGGCTTCTGGGACTTGTAGTTTAATAACATCTAGTCTCTAGAGGCCAACCTGGAAATTACAGGATTTGGAATAGCAATTGAACTTCAGAGTTATAATATCTCTTAAAAATTGAGGTTTATCATAGATTCATCCCTTACTGTGCTTAGAAGATGCACATTAGGAAAATATTCAACCTTGTTGATAAAAACAACTTCCTGTGTAAGTAGGAATTTAAATTTGATATTGGTTCCATCCAGGGGTGGGATTCAAGCAGTGTACTACCGGTTCGGTGACTATACTTTGCACGCGCACATGCCTGACGTGCATTGCACGCATATGTAATAAACTAAGCTATGCCACCCAGACAGTTGAAAAGTGCTGAGTGCAGGTACACAGTGTTTGTAAAACCCACTTTTTTCCTGCTTTTTCAACCTCAGCTGTGCCGCACAAAGCAGCTGAGGCTGAAAAAGCAGGAAATAAAGGACAGGTAAGAGCCTGGGCCAAACAACAGCAAACACAGAACCGGTTCTGTATCTGCTGCTCTTCAGAGCATCCAGTTCTATAGAGCCAGGCAGAACTGGTAGCATCCCACCCCTGGTTCCATCTAGCCTTTATTATGCCATGCAGATCTCTAACATTGAGTATCTTCCAATTATGATTTCTTGGAAGGACTGGAAGGTTACATAAGTGACATCTTCTATATACAACTAGTCCTTGACTTATGACCACAATTGAGCACATAATTTCTATTTCTATATGCAAGATAGTTGTTATGTGAATGTTGTCCCATTTTATGACCTTTCTTGCCATCGTTAAGTGAGTTATTGCAGTTGTTAAGTTAATTATGCGGTCATTAAGCAAATCTCACTTCCCCTATTGACTTTGTTTGGTCAGAAGCCACCTGGGAAAGTTGCAGATGGAGCTCACACGCTCCCAGGATAGTGTCATTATAAACACAAGGCAGTTGCCAAGCATTCGAATTTTGATCAGGTGATCATGGGGGAACAGACATGCAAAAAATGATCACTTTTTTCAGTGCCACTTCAAACAGTCACTAAACGAATGGTTATAAATGGACCTGTATCAACCATGCACCTGTCAAACACATTGTAAATGATGTATAAAATTGTTTGGAAGCTCCTTACTCTGGGATCAACAACTAAGAAGGTCTTGATGCGGTTCTCCCTCAAATAAGAGTCTCGTACACAGCAAACTTCCTCCACAGTGTACATTCCATCCAGGTGTGACAAGGTAGCTTCTGTGATGTGAACTCTCCTGAAAGAGAAATGCTGTAGTGATGAGACCACAAATTACTGTTCACTGTACAAAATCCATTTTTTTCACTGAAAGTCAAATCAAAAATAGATTATTAAGGTGGATCATTAGACCTCTGAATTAGGTCCTTCCAGTTCAGAAAGTTAATTTATCCATTAGAATAAAATATTTTTTCTGTGCATGGGGAAATAAACATCAAATCATCATGTCGGTGTGATAGATGTCAATTCAAGAATTCAATCCAAATAGAGGGGATTCACATTGAGAAGCTGGTTAAATCTAGAGATTCGGTTGGATCAGCTTCAAATCTGCTTGTTAAATAAAATCTCTGTGAGATTGAATGACCTGCAAGGCCCCTTTCAACTCTGTTTATTCTATTATATTGCTCACATGTTTTGTGTATTTACATCTTTTCCTGTGCAATTTCTGTTTTGTCCTCTTGGAGGCAGCACTGCCCATATATTTCAGCCAAATTCTGAGAAATACAGAAGAGTTCCTAGTCATTTTGCTAGACTGTCTTTAAACAAAGGCACAAACACCTTTGAAATGAGACAAAAATAGCTTACTTTATTGGAATGGTTATTGTGAAATAAGCAAAGGTGATAAAGTAGCCAACCAAACAATAGTCTTTTAATCTGATCAAGTATTTTTCAGTTCTGAGAAGAAGAAAAAAATAACCCTCGCAGATACTATATCTGGCCATTTAGTTATTTACTCCAGTAGTTATTTAGTTATTTACTCTAGGCTTCCTCTTGTTAACTGTAACTATCTTCACTGACTTTCATCAGGACCATATCAGGGGTGGGCTGCTGGGGATTTGCAGGGGTTCGGGAGAGCCTCTAGATCCCACTCCTGGCTGGCCCTGCCCACCTTGCCCCGCCCCTCCCAGGAGTCCCTATGCGGCTCATTTTGGATGCAGGTAAGTGCAGGGCATGCAGCGAGACTCAGGGAGGATGAAAACGGGCCTCCTGGAAGTTCGGGAAGGCCAGAAATGGGCCTGTTTCGGGCCTCCAGAGAGCCTCCGGAGCCCAGAGAGGCCATTTTCACCCTCCCTGAGGCTCGAAGAAAGCTCCTGAGCTTGGGGAGGACAAAAATGCCCCTCCCACTGTGGTGCAGAAAGCTGACTAGACCACACCCACTGTAGCCAGCAACCGAGCAGAGAACCCCTTGCTAAAAATTTTGAAGCCCACTCTGATCATATTACTACCACCACCCCTGATAGTAGATGGTACCAGGAGATGAATGGAAATAATCATTACATCGTCCTCTCACCCTTTTTTGGGAAACTCGGAGACTGTAAACAACAGCCATTTTATTCCCAGCACAGTCTATACATCTGCTTCTTCTCCTTCAGTTGTCTCACAAAACAATGGTTAAGAAGCACCTCACTTCCCCACTCCAAACCAGTTATTTTAGGGTCCCCTTGAGAGAAAATTCATCCAAGGAGGAGGATGAAGATGTTTGGATTCAGATGTATTAAGAAGGATAGAGCAGGTGAAGATTGTTTCCAGCTCTTGGTATTCTTTAGGGAGGCTCCTTTCATGTCCCCCACGTGATTTGTGATTGTCGTGACATGTGATTGTGATGACATGCAGGCAACAACACATAGATATACCCATCCTTTGTGCCCCAATCAGTGTATACCTCAGTACCTCATGGCAGTTAATATTGTTAGTTTCTAGGCAAGATCTATTTAATTTGTACATATTTTAATCTTGTATTTTATAGTTTAAACGTTATGTTATATAGTATGCCTTAATTTAATTGTGATGCTTCTGACACGAATAAGTGAACAAGCTCTTAGTATCTAGGGAAAGGCCAGGATTGGTCCTTTTAGCCCAAGGTAAGGTCAACTTTCCAAAACGTTTATTGAAAAATGTCCACAGAAACCATGTGTTCAAGAAGGAATTCTTCCATAGGAAAACTCTCCAAAACAATCACACATAAAACAACCTTGCAGGGTAGATTGGGCTGAGGACTGAAGAAACTGTGGATGGATACTTGAAACCAGAGTTGTCCATTTTAGCACCACTAACAATCATGCTAAACCAGCTTCTCTTTTTCCCTGTTTTCACTAGCTACATTTCCTTCTTCTTTCTCAGAAAAAAAACAAAACAAAAGCAATCTAACTACCTTTTGAAAAAATACCTTTGAGACAGCTAGGAGCTGGATGACTGAAAATCTCCACAGACTATAATCGAAAGCACATGCACTTAATTGGAATGTTCACTGCAATTTGTTTCCATGTACTTGGCATCCAGTAAAAGCCGCAGTGACTGTGTATCATAACATACAGTGCACAATTTGTGTTATTCTCATCTTGACCCCATCGTGTTATGGTGTCACTTGCACGCTTTTCCCCTGTTTAGAGATACCTGAATCTGAGTCACATTCAAAGCTAAACTAAAGACATAACACCTTCTGTGAGATTTGGGAGCACACAGCTCACCCTCTGATTCCTCTCACCCTGGCACGCCTCCTGCCTCCATGTGATTGGCTAATGTCACATCATCAGACCAGACATCATATTGCCACTTTTGGAGACCAATCACCCCACACAAGACATTTCCCGAATGGACTCCAACTCTCATATTGATGTCCACTCCGGTGGCATCACGCAGCTTCCTGAGGGAGGAAAAAAATGTAACACGGTGTTGTTCTATTTCATTAAGCAATCTGAGCCAAGTTTCTAAAAAGTTTATATATCCATGCCTCATTAGATAGCAGCACTCAGCCTATGCAGGCTGTTATCCAAAAACTAAGCAGAAGTGGACTTCATAATTGTGAATCCTATAGCTGGAGGGTAAACTAAGTCATAGGAGAAAAAAACCCAGACTAGAACAATGGCAAACTACTTCTGTACTATGGGAATGGAATGGAATGGAATAGAATAGAATATGTGGAATGGGATAGGAATGGAATGGAGTAGGAATAGAATAGAATGGACTATAATTTAGAATGGACTAGAAATAGGAATAGAATAAAACCGGACAGAATAGAATATGTGGAATGGAATAGAACAGAATAGAATGGAATGGAATGGAATGGAATGGACTATAATATAGAATGGAATGGAGTGGAGTGGAATGTAATAGCATAGCATAGCATAGCATAGCATAGCATAGAATAGAATAGAATAGAATAGAATAGAATAGAATATAGAATGGAGTGGAGTAGGATAGGATAGGATAGGATAGAATAGAATAGAATAGAATAGAATAGAATAGAATAGAATAGAATAGAATTCATTATTGGTGCAAAAGCTCACAGGGTACACATAAACAGCAAGTCATAGCTCATAGATCATAATTATAGTTACAAACATTAATCATAAGTTACAAGCAACAATTATTATTCATTATTACTATTACAGGTAGTCCTTGACTTACAACAGTTCATTTAGTGACTATTTCAAGTTCCAATGAAAGTTTCAATGGAAAAAGTGAGTTATGATCATTTTTCACACTTATGACCATGGCAGCATGCCCATGGTTGTGCAATCAAAATTCAGATTGATAACCGATATTTATGACAGTTGCAGAATCCCGACATCACACAATCACCCTTTGTGACCTTCTAACCAGCAAAGTCAATGGGGAAGCCAGATTCAATTAAAAACCATGTTATTACCTTAGCAACTGCAGTGATTCACTTGTCAACTGTGACAGGAAATGTCACAAAATGGGGCAAATCTAACTTGACAAAGACCTTGCTTAGCAACATAAAGTTTGGGGTCAATTATGGCCATAAATCGAAAACTACTTGTATATAAAAAACATGGAATTGCTGGTGACATCATTATTCCTGACACAAAGGAGACTTTAGATTTTGCGGGTGGTTTTTTTCCAAACTTGGCAACATTAAGATGTGTGAACTTCCCAGCATGCCAACTGGGCAATTCCAGGAGTCGAAGTCCACATATCATAAAGTTGCTATGAAAAACATTGATCTACATTAATAAGTAGTCAGGAAAGTAGATAGAGACAGAGATATAACATTCCGCAAAGTATTAGCAGCAACAGGAACCCATGGAATGCTGACATACAATTTTATATATCCCTGCTTGGAAACAAAAGGTCTTAAGTAAGATATAACAACACTTAGCTGTATGTGTTTATGACTCATGGTTGATTCCTGGTGACTGCCGTAGTTTCCTTGGTAAGATTTCAGAAGTGGTTTGCCATTTGCCTACTTCCTAAGGTTGAGAAGGAGTGACTGGCCCCAGGTTACCCAGCTGAATAGACTAGAACATACAGTTTTTCTAGTTTCTAGCCCAGTGGCTTAACCACTACAACAAACTGGCTCTCAATAAATCTTTTTCATCATTATCATATCAGATGTGGTGGCACAGTGGTTAGAGTGCAGTACTGCAGGCTATTTCTGCTCACTGCTGGCTGGCTGCAATTTGGCAGATCAAATCTCATCAGGCTCAAGGTTGACTCAGCCTTCCATTCTTTCGAAGTGTGCAAAATGAGGACCCAGAGTTATGGTAGAGTATTGGGGGCCATATGCTGACTCTGTAAGCCACTTAGAGAGGGGCTGTAAAAGCACTGTGGAGCGGTATATAAGTCTAAATGCTAGTGATGTTGCTATCTTAGCCATTGTCTAACCACTGTGGGATGAAGGCCTCTTCTGCAAGTTTCCAACCAATATAGTCCTGAGCTTTCTTTTGTCAAATGAGCCAGCAATACTTGATGATGTCACCGATCCATCTTGTTTTAGGTATCTTTCATGGATGCATTTTATCAAGTGGGAAGTCCAGATGGGTCTCCCAAGGTGAACAGGCCCAGACTAACACTGATCACATCAGCCAATCTGGATTGGGCTAGCATGGCAAATTATGGTTTATTCCTTCCACATTCCAAAACAATCTCAAAAACATATGTATCTGGTGACTCAAAAGTTTAGGATTTTCTTTTCCATTCAGGGGGTGAGGGGATGAAAAGCTTCTTCTGAGGCAATGGACACAAGTAGTCTTTTGAGTGACCTTAAGGGTCCCATAACAAAAAGTAATTGTTAGGGTCAGGTGGAAGGCCCTGTTTCATTTTAGAGTTAAAGTATTTGTAAATTGTGACTGTTCAAAGTTAAAATGGCACTGGGGGGAAAAATAACCTATGGCCTTTTTTCACACTTACGATTGCAGCATTCCTATGATCACATGATCAAAATTCAGTTACTAGGCAAGTGGTTCATATTTATGATGGTTGCAATGTCCTAGGTCATGTGATCCCCTTCTGAGAAACAAAATTGATGGGGAAGCCAGATTCACTGAATAACCGGGTTACTAATTTAACAACTACAGTGTTAAATTCACTTAACAACTGTGGCAAGAAAGATTTTCCCTTCCCTTCCCCCTCCCTTATTTTCCAATTATTTTCTTTCATATTTTTTTTTTGTATTTTACATTACAAAATAATTTAAAAAAATAAAATGGGCTCAATTGTTGTCACAAGTTGAGGGCTACCTCTATTCTATTTCTTCTTAAATTAAATATAGATAATAGAGTAAACCTTCCATCATGTATTGAATAATGTGTCCCTTTTGTCTCAGCATAATGGCAAGCTGTTTCTAATTTAATGTGTGGTTTTGTTGCAATATTTACAACTTGACTTGCCCCTGATACTTAGGATAACTTTTCTAATGTCACTCTCCCATCTCATCCTTCCAAAGCATTTTTCTCTAATTAAAAATAACTATGATATCTCCAATTTAATTTATGATAGAGTGGAGATTTCAAACTGAATCTTACCAACACCAAAGATCTTTTGCTAGACCAAAAGATATACATTTTCTCCTTCCTAGAAGTAGCGTTATCAATATGAGAAGTTCTCATACTCACTTGATGGACCGACACATATCAAGTCCCATCTTGACGCAGTTCTGGGCATGGTTTGGCAAAGATACAGGCAATCCAGACACACAATAGTAGCAATCTCCTAAGATCTTGATCCTCATGCAGTCATTATCCTAGGGGGTGGATGGGGGTGGAACAGAAATATAATTCCATTCAAAAGCCACCATTTTGATCACCTTGGAAAGAGGACTATCCCATTTTGATTTATAGATCATTCTGGAGAGAACTCAAAGTGGCAAACAAACTTTCAGAATGAAAATAGTCTCTAAGAAGATAAAGCACATATTAAAATTAATCATAGTCTACTAGCCATGAAGACCACCAAGAATGTCAAGTCTATAGATTTACAGATTTTCTAAACTTTGAAAGAATGGAGGCCCAATAAATCTGTAGAAGAAGGGCATTTCTGTGATTGGCTTCTGATAGTAAGGAGAACTACAGAATAACCTCTCTTGCAGTTCTTAATGATCAGACAGGTTCATAACCTGACAGATGACCCTTTAGAGAAGCCTAAACTGCTTAAAAAGTCAGTATTTGAAATTGTGCTGTGGAAACCACTGGCATCAAGTATAGAATTTGCAGTGCAGGCATTTATTTATTTATTTATTTATTCACTCATTCATTCATTTGATTGCCATCCATCTCACCTTGTGGTCCTTATATAGGATATCAACAAAGATATCAATAGGATATCCAGATGAGATGGCCTCTTTTGCACCAACCGTCACTTCCAGGTATTTTCCAAAGATAGCCAAGATATAATATAACCAAGGCATACATAATCCTTGTGGGTTGCCTGGTTATTTGGAGGGAGACCATTACTCACCTTGGCAATCTGATCAAACTTGCCAAAGAGTTCATTGAGCATCAATACCAGCTCTTTGGGAGAACATTCACTAGCCAAAAGTGTGAAGCCAACAATATCTGCATAGAGGATGCTGTGGGAGGAGAAAGGCAAAGGAAAGAGAAGAAATGCTTTATCTAGAGGGAGGACTAGCACCTCCTCCAAATTCACCACCCTTCTCTTCCTCCAACCACAAAAGTCCTGGCAAGCACTATTCCATGTGCCAGATTCCTTCGAATCAAGTACCTGACATTCTGGTGCCTCTTGACATAAAGGTTGTGGAAATTGTTGGCACTTTCATGCTGGCGTTGGGGCTGGCCTCCATCCCGGAGCCGCTCAATGATCTCAGTCTTCATCTCCAAGGCAATGTAAGCAGGAAGGATGGAGAGGAGCAAATGTTCCTAGGAGTAAGATGGGGAGGGGAGAAAAAGCATCAATGGAATGAGTTGTGGAACCTTCTCACAAATGTAGAACTTATTTCAGGTGGCAATAGCAAGAATCCACTCACTGCTGAGTTATTTTCATGCTACAATTCATTCAGAACTTGAATATCTCTCAATCACTGTTTGACAGAGCCTTTCTTCAGATGGAGAAAAATTCTATCTAACCTGCTTAGCTTTTTCAAGATCCAACAAGAGTAACTGTTGTTGTTGTTAGTTGTGAAGTCATGTCCGACCCATCGCAACCCCATGGAAAATGTTCCTCCAGGCCTTCCTGTCCTCTACCATCTTCTGGAGCCTGTTTAAGCTCCATTCAGCCACCTCATTATCTGTCATCCCCTTCTTCTATTGCCCTAAATCTTTCCCAGCATTTTCTCCAGTGAGTCCTTCTTTCTCATTGGGTGACCAAGAGTAACTACAGCTAGGTAAAATCTCTCCCTGTGTGTCTTTCTCCATAATGCCTTCCACACTCACCTGGTGTCGCTTCTCTGACTCCAGCTTAACTCGAGATTGGATGAGGTTGAAGGTCTCATGGAATGTCTCACCCAGAGCCACCTCCATCAAATGCTTGTGATAGGCACCCACCAAGTTGCCACAGACAAAGATGACCAGATTGGCCAATTGCTGGAAGCAGACATAAAGACAAAGTGAATTGTGACTGATAGCAGTGCAGGTAGGAAATAAAATCCAGGAGCTATTCTTCTTCTCTGCTGTTCCAAGCAGCAAGTTATATTGGATGGGCTTTAATTGCTGAGAGACCCACTTGGATAAATGTCATAAGAAATGTATTGATGAAGCAGTGATTTGCCAAATAGAATCAATGGCTTGGAACAATTTAGGGTTATTCATCTCCAGTGGGGCTCCAGGATTGGATTATTACAATCTTGGAAAGGGAGTTGTGGGAGATTAGGATGTTTCTGCATTGTAATATCATTGTACCAAAAGTTAGAGCAAACTTCAGTTAGATACTATACTACCAGATCAGAAGTGTCGAAGTGCTTCTGTGGTACCTATTTATCTATTTAGCATCATTCTGAACTGCTAGGTCAGCAGCAGCTGCAGTGAATGACAGACTCTCTCCCGCATCACACATGAGCACCTGGGCTTCAAACAGAGGCTTGCAAATTGTCAGCCAGCTTCCTAACAATGTGAGCCTCAATTTGTGCTTCTTTTCAGTTAGATTTTTCTGAGTTTCCATTCAATTGAAGCACAAAAGTCAACATGAGGTTTACCTTTGGTAAGTCAGAGCTGACAATAAGGCCGCAGGATCAGGAGATGATATCTCCTGGACAGAACACTAGTAATCCAAATGGAAACAGAAAATACTGGGATAAATTGGGAAAAATCTGAAAAGTTATGTCTTAGATTACCCATTTGTCCAGATGGGCTGGGTAGGCTTACCTGCACAGCCAGTTGTGAATGTGAACTGTTGCCCATTGAGAGGTAGATACTCAGAACTATGATGTGCGAGAGAGAAGCTACGATACCAGCAACTACTGCGTCTTTCATGCCAACAGGCAACATGGTGTAGACAATGAAGATTATGAAGAGGAAGAAGGAGACCTTGGAGAAAAACGTGTCATGGCAGTCAACTTTCCATAAGGAGTCATAGAAGGAAAGCACATGGGTAGAATAAATGCAAATTGAAGTCTTTCCACAAAGATTCCAGCTTGGGACACAATAGAGAACTTCCAGTTCCCAATATATGAATTATATTTAACTGATTCTTCCTTGGACAACACCAATTTCTTCATCTCTCTCCCTCCCTTCTGAAAATCTCAGTGTTTCCCTTCTCATCAGAGAGGAGAGGAGAGGAGAGGAGAAGAAAAGAAAGGAAAGGAAAGGAAAGGAAAGGAAAAGAAAGGAAAGGAAAGGAAAGGAAAGGAAAGGAAAGGAAAGGAAAGGAAAGGAAAGGAAAGGAAAGGAAAGGAAAGGAAAGGAAAGGAAAGGAAAGCTCTATAAACCTCCATCTGTGCGTGAAAAGTTCTCCATTCTAAAAATTAATGAAAACTTGGAATCAGGAAGAGATGTTGAGTAGAACTATTAACAGAAGCACTTTGCCTTTTTTACACATAAATCATTCTATTCATCAAAACAAATATAGTTGTAGTTTCATTCTAGAGCAGCAAATCCAAAACAAATAGAATTGTAGTTTCATTCTTGAGTAGCAAATCCAAAATAAAGCAGCACCAACATCTGGCAGTTTGTGTGTTTGTGTGTGGGTGAATTTGAGCCAGCCCTTTAATTTATTTCATTAAACTTTTTCTCAAGAAAACACAACACAAATAGAAAAGAGATCAAAAGAATAAAAGCATAAAGTACTAAGGAATCAGCAGGGAATCCAAAATGTCAATGAGATTATAGTTTTTCATTATACCGTTTGTTAATTATGAATGATTGAATATATCACTTTAAATGAATATATCAAATTTCACTATTAAGCTCTAAAACTAGGAAAAATCTCAAGAAACCTAGCCCACGCAGTATAAATCATCAAATAAAATAATTATCCATAATAGACGGAGCCATAAATAGTGAAATTCAGTCATTTAAAGTGATATATTCATAATTAACGAATGATGCAGTGGAAAACAATAACCTTGTTGACATTTTTGGATTGAGGATCTGCTCTGCTTAAATTATCCTAGCAAATCAAAATACAGATTCTATTCACAGAAAAATTCAAATTTTGGAAGAGGTGTAAAATTTATGTACAGGTAGTTCTCAACAGTTCATTTAGTGACTGTTCAAAGTTACAGTGATTTATGACCATTTTCCACGCATTTTTCACATGACCATTGCAGCATCCCCATGGTCATGTGATCAAAATTCAGATGCTTGGCAATTGATTCATATTTATGGTGGTTGCAGTATCCTGGGGTCATGTGATCATCCCCTTTTGTGACCTTCTGACAAGCAAAGCCACTGGGGAAGCTAGATTCACTTAACAAACATATTACTAACTTAACAACTGTAGTGATTCACTTAACAACTGTGATAAGAAAGGTTTTTAATTGATAGGAAGATGGCAGTGCAGGTAGGAAAAAATCCAGGAGCTATTCTTCTTAACTCACTTAGCTCACTTAACGAATGTCTCACTAGCAACAGAAATTTTGGGTTCAGTTATGGTTATAAGTCGAGGACTGCCTGTATTCTTGCAAAGCACTGCCAGGTCCTTGCAAGACAACCAGAGTTGTCATCTCTACACAGTGAAGCAAGGTGGGCATGGCACCAGGGACAAAAAAGCGTGATATCCTCTACATTTTTTGACAGGTAGTTGTCAACTTATGACCATGATTGACCCCAAAATTTATGTTGCTAAGTGAAAAATTTGTTAAGTGAGTTCTGTCCCATTTTACAACTTTTCTTGCCAAATTTGTTAAGTGAATCGCTGCAGTTGTTAAGTAAGGTCGTTAAGTGAATCTGGCTTCCCCATTGACTTTGCTTGTCAGAAGGTCGCAAAAGGCGATCGTGTGGCCTTGGGACACTGCAACCGTCATAAATGTGAGTCAATTGTCAAGCATCCAAATGTAAATCATGTGACGATGGGGATGATGCAATGCTCATAAGTTACTTTTTTTAGAGCTTTGAATGATCACTAAGTGAACTGTAGTAGAGATCTTATGATAATTTATATCATGACACAAATTTCACAGACACCTTTGCCTGGGATTGTCTGGTATATTTTGATATTTTGATGCTAAAAATGTTTGTGAAAAGCTTTTCTTCTGTAAATCCTCATTCCCCATTTTTTATATTTATGCCAGCGGATGATTCAACCCAGAGGTGGCATTCAGGAGGTTCTGAGTAGTTCGGAGAACTGGCAAATACCACCTCTGACTGGCCCTGCCCCCATCTATTCTCTGCCTCTCAAGTCCCAGCTGATTGGCTGGGTCTTCTTTTGTTGCTCTGCACAGGAGAACGGAGCTGGAAAGCAGGTTAATGGGTAGGGAGGGAATGGAGATTTTGCAGTATCCTTCCCCTGCCATGCCCACCAAGCCACGCCCACCAAGTCACACCATGCCCACCAAGCCATACCCACAGAACTGATAGTAAAAAAATTTTTGAATCCCACCACTGATTCAACCTTGGTACTTCACCTGGTCCCAAGCGCAAACCACTCCATCAACAAAGATGAATACATAACCAATTGTGATCAGACAAGTCCAAATGACAGCTGAGAAGAGGCGGGTGCATTTCTGGAAGATGTTTTCCATGCACACAAAGACCAAGATGAGGCTGAAGAGAAGCAGAGCAATGAATAACGTAATCAGGAAAGCCAAGCTGGAGGAGAAATCCTGGAGAAGAGAGAAAAAAAGGCCCTCGGTTAATCTGGTTGCAAAGCCACTGGAAAGTAGAACCTATGCTCAGTGAGAAGCATATGGTTGATAAAGCATATGGTTTGCCAATTGCACAGTGGCAGATAGGACAGTGCTCCAGAGGGTTAAGATCATTGCCCAGAGGAACATTGGTTGCCCTCTCCCCTCTTTGGAAGAGCTTTATAGCTCCCCACTGCCTTAAGAAAGTTCAAACATTCTCAAAGTTCCATCTTATCCTAGGAATCCTTTTCTTTTTGACTATTACCATCTGGCAGATGGTACAGAATAATAGAAACAAGCATAAATAGGCTGAAAAACAGCTTCTATCCCAGGGCAGTAGCTCTTTTGAATTCTACTGGATAGTGCAATATTAATGCAATTCAATTGTATAGAATGTGAAGGATGTGTGCTTTTGTTTTTTTATGTATAATGTACGCTGTATATGGATTTAATTTCACTGGTGCAATGACAATAAAGTAAACTATAGCTTCTAAACAGAAGTTCAGATGCTGTTATCTTCAGGTAGTCCTCAATTTACAAAAGTTTATTTAGTGACTGTTCAAAGTTACAATGGCACTGGACAAAAAGTGACATGCTCATTTTTGGATGCTTGGCAACTGGTTCATACTTATGACAATTGCACTATCTTTGGGTCATGAGGTCACTTTTTGTGACCTTCTGACAAGCAGAATCAATGGGGAAGCAGGATTCACCTAACGACACCTAATCCTGTTACTAATTTAAGAACTTCTGTGATCCACTTAACAAACATGGCAAGAAAAATTGTAAAATGGGGCAAAACTCATTTAACAAATTTCTCGCTTAGAAACATTAATTTTGGCTCAACTGCGATTGTTAAGTCAAGGACTACCTTTACAGCCAATAAAGGGGCAGAGAAGATCCTCATCAGGGACTACAAGGAGCACATGTAGATTACAGCAGTCCAGGAACTAGTGGTCCAATAAAGGTAAAGATTCCCCTCACACACAAGTGCCAGTCGTTTCCAGCTCTAGAGGGCGGTGCTCATCTCTGTTACAAAGCCGAAGAGCCAGCGCTTTCTGCAGATGTATCTGTGGTCATGTGGCCAGCATGATTAAATGCCGAAGGCGCATGGAACGCTGTTACCTTCCCACCAAAGTGGTCCCTATTTTTTTACTTGCATTTTTATATGCTTTCAAACTGCTAGGCTGGCAGAAGCTGGGACAAGTAATGGGAGTTCACTCCATTACATGGTGCTAGGGATTCAAACCACTGAACTGCTAACCTTTCTGATTGACAAGCTCAGCATCTTAGCCACTGAGCCCCTGAATCCCTTTTAGTGGTCCAATAGAGATACCTTTTCTTTTAGTTCAACAAAACGATATCTCACAGAGCAATGAAGTTTGGAATGTGGCTCTTTAAATGTCCAGATGGCATCCCAGCTACCAATAACTGACAACCTTTATTTAGATCTCCAGTCAGAACCATCAATCATCAGAAGGCTTACCCCAGCAAGTGTTCTAACCCAAGACTTGTTCAAATTAAACAAACACAAACTGTGTATAAAAGCAAACCTTTTTTAATGCTGCGCTGGGAATTCTGTGCACCCCCAGCCAAGAGTCATTTAAACCTAATTGTTCAAGATAAAAGCAAGCCCTTTCAAGGTTTAAAAGGCTGCCAAGAACAGAAATCTAATTACTGATAAATATCAACCAAACAGAAGTTTCAAAAACAAACAGGAGTTCGCAGGGCTTCAACGAGGACTCAGAATCTAAAGAACATCTTTGCTTCCTGCAAAGAGCACATCCCCAAGGGCTAGTTTTTATCCCTTATGGGAGGGGCAATCACCTTCCAGCCTTACTCCCAAGTTGCCCTTGCTGCTTCAGCTGCTCTCTCCTTCAAGCAGCCCCATGCACATGTGCACGGGGCATAGGCTCCCCAGGGTCCTCTGCTTCACTGCTACCAGAAGTGAAACCTCCAAAGGCAGCACCCCACTCTCTGATAGTCCTGGCTCCATCCCTGCATCAGATGCAGGATCCTCGTCCAAGTCCTTGCCAGGCTCCCTGACTGGTTCCCTTTTGCCTTTGCTGTCAGAAATCTCTGCCGTCTGCACCTGCTGCTAGTGAACCAAAACAGCAAGCTTTTATAAAAGCTGAAGGCCAAATCTTTCCAAAAGAAGTGCCAGATGGTGTAGATGTTCCCAAAATAGATGGTTTTAGGACAAATAAATTCATTTGATTAAATTTAAAATAAATTAAAGATAAAATAATGAATTTAATCAGGAAGGTCTGAAGGTTTTTAAGAAGGTGGACAACCATCTGTTGATGATTTCACTGATGATTTTTCTAAATTTTGCAGACAAACCTCAACTAGATAATCTTTATGTTCTCTCTAATTCTGCAATTCTATCATACTGAGATTAAATTCTGTAGTTTTTTTTAAAAACACCCAATATTTGCATTTTCCTGGATGGGGAGTTTTTTCATGGTCATCCTAATCATTGATCTCTATTCTTTTCTCCCATTTTTATCTCTTGGCTAGGCAAAGAAGGTGGGGAAGCTGGGAAAATGGACTTAGACCTATTTAGTCATTCACTATTCATTTATTTTCCAGAAAACAATTGCCTGGAAAAACTTGCAGCTATTTCCTAGGCAGGGGAAAAAAATATTTATTTTTTTTGCCATCACTTGCTTCCTGCTCATTTCAGTGGAGATTCCCAGGGATCAAAGTGAAATGTAGACTGTCTACATGATTGCACCTCCAGAAAGGTCTTCCCTTGGTTTGTTCTGCTCCTAAAATCTTACAGCCCCTCTTTCCAAAGACAATCAGACCTGTAGTGGGATTCAAAAACTTTTACCATCATTTCGGTGGGGACAGCTTGGTGGGCACGCCTTGTGTGCATGCACACACTTTGCATTCACGCATGCACCAAACATGCACTTTGCGCAGACACAGAGGAGTTCCAGCTCACCTCCTGCAAGCCTGTACTCTCTCAGTCACTTCAGCAGCTGCTGCGCGACACTCTTCTGTGCCGCGCAAAACAGCTGCACTTCAAAAGCAAAAGATAAAAGTGAGTATGGGAGCCCAGGCAGGCAGGCGGCGGAGAGAACTGGTTCGGTCTCTGCTGCTCATTGCCGCTACCAGCTTGGCAGAATTGGGCCGAACCGGTCGCATACCACCACTGAACCAAACCCTCCTCTGCTCTCTTCATAATTGAGAACTTACCCTACCACTGGTAAAGGTAGTAGCAATGAGAGCCACACAGATGCTCAGCACGATAACCAAGAGAAGAAGAATCAGAGGGTACTGTTGGCTCAAGCAATAATAGGTTTGATAGAAGAGGTCTTCTCGGGGTGTGTCACTAGTTGCCCGTGGGCGATGCTGGCAGGGCATGGCTCAACAGCTTCTATGAAGATCCACAGTGGAGAAGAACTCACTCCTCAAGCACAGGAGTCAACATGGTGAACAAGAATCCTCTTCTTGACCCATCAGCTATGAACAATTTCTACATCCATTCCAAGCCATGGTGTCCGGTAACTGGGAAATAGAAACTCTTCAAGGAAGGAGAAAAGTCACAACTGAGCAGAACAGGGGAGGTGTTCAACCGAAAGATAAGTAGGCTGTCAATGCACCCAGTAGTTTCCGCAGCAATTTCAGCAAAACTCCATGCAAGAAAACACGCTAGTAGCTTCAGTGCTGGAAAAACATAAAACAGAGAGAAGTAGATAAGAAAACATCAGAAGGAGAGACTGTGATTAAAGATTAATTTAGGCTGTCTTTGAAGCTCTCTCTTTTACCTAACCCCTTATAGACTTTTGCTTGATAGAAAAACAAAAATGATTTATGGTTCTGATGATTAGACCGGCTTGATTGTAGAAAGAAGAAAGTTACTCTGTCACCGTAGAGTAAGAGGTAATTTTAAACAGGTCGTCCTCGACTTACTGTATGGCCATAAGTGTGTCCCAAATTTCCATTGCTTAAGTGAGATATTTGTTAAGTGAGTTTTGCTCCATTTTACAAGCTTTCTTGCCACAGTTCTAAAATGAATTGCTGCAGTTGTTAAGTTAGTAACACAGTTGTTAAATGTTTTCCCCATTGAGTTTGTTTGTCAGAAGGTCATAAAAGTTGATCACATGATCCCAGATAATGTAACTATCATAAATGTGAGTCAATCGCCAAGTATCTGAATTTTGATCACAAGCTGCAATGGTTGTAAGTGTGAAAATGATCACAAGTCACTTTTTTCAGTGTTTTTGTCCTAACTTTGAATGGTCACTAAATGAACTGTTGTGAGTCGAGGACTGCTATAAAGAAGATCAGATCTTTATAACTCTTTTGTTCTATTTTTTTTCTTTTCTATTTTTCTTTTCCCACCTTTTGCATCTTTGCCTTTCTCTTTAACTTTTTTCTTTTATTTTTCTTTTGTTATTTTTTTTTTTAAATCTTTAATTAAAAAGTTATCTATTTAAAAAAGAAGTTCTTTCTTGCCTAAAAGTTGATCTAAACACTTGGGATTTATTTCCTAGAACTTGAATGAATCTTACAGTTTATACCTCACAGTAAGCATTCATCCATTAAGTTGCCCAAAGTATTTGCATTGTAGGCATTTAGCATATTTTTGCTATTTTAAGCAGCACAATCTGTACTTCTGAAGTTTTGTTTTATTTTTACCTTTATGGCTTACATTGCTACCACCCCAAAGCCTTTCTGCCAATTCAAGATCAAGCTTCACACAGCTGAATGTAATACGAGGAAGTTTAGGCTGGATTTACATATTGCTTAAGTGTGGTTTATTGAACAAACCACAACAGCCCCAGTCATAGCACACCTAAACATCACCAAATGATGTTTCATGGGAGATGTATCAGATACATCCAATAACTTTCTCTCTCATTCTGTCTTTCTTATTCTGTCATTCTCTTTCATTCTGTCTCTTATTCTTTCTCTCTCATTCTCTCTCTGCCATTCTCTGCCATTCTCTCTCTCTCGTTCTCTCTCTGTCTCACTGTGTCTCATTCTTTATCTCTGTATCTGTCACTTTCTCTCTGTCTCCCTCTCTCTGTGTCATTCTTTGATATTCTCTCTCTCTCTCTCATTCTCTCTTGGCCATTCTCTCTGTCATTCTCTGTAATTCTCTCTCTCTCATTCGCTCTCTCATTCAGTCTGTCTCTCTGTCTCTCATTCTTTCTCTCATTCTGTTTCTCTCTTATTCTCTCTCTCTGTCTTATTCCCTCTGTTATGTCCTGAGGACTCTAGGAGTTCTCACTCAGGTCCATTCACTTTGCGGGGGCGTTTCTCCCCTTTACCCATTGGTTGGTTCTCCCCAGCAGCCAGCTATAAAAGCAGGCTGCGGGGTCCAACCAGTTGCTGATCGCTGCGAGCCAGTTCCAGGCGTGGCAAGCACGGTCAGCCCTTTATTGTTATAATAAAGTATTGTTGCACTCATGCTCTGGTTCAGCCTCTCTTTTCCCAAACTTAACACTGGCGACGAGGATGGGATGGCTACCAGAAGCACCATGCAACCGCTGAGTCACTAGCCGCCGATCCGCAGCCAGAGAGAGCGATCGGCCGGCGATAAGAGCAACGCTGATCCGCAGCCAGAGAGAGCGGTCAGCAAGCAAAAAGAGCAAACAAAAAGAGCAAATGCTGGTCCGCTGACAGAGAAAGCGGCCAGCAAGCAATAGAAGCGAACACTGATCCGCAGCCAGAGAGAGCGGTCAGAACGGAAAGTTAGAAGCGTCTGTAGCCGCTTGTTAGCCCAGCTACAGGGAAAGTGAAGCGCTGCGAGCCGCAGCCGCTCATTGTTTAGGCGCGAAATTCAAATGGCTGTCATTTGAATTTCAAACCTAAAAGGCACAGCACGGTGCTGTAGTCGAGTCACTGACGCCCACACAGGTGCGAATTCAAACGCCGCCAACGGCTGATGGCCAAACGTGGCTAACCCAGAGAGAGAGAGAGGATTGCAAAAAGCCTCTCCAGAGCTGAAATCACTTGCCTGCCACAGGCACTAGAACATTTTTCTGCTGCCCCAGAGAGATTTTGTCCACAGGTTGTTCTACCGGCCCCATCACCATGAACTCCAATCCAGTCTTCCCAGCATTCAAACCGGATGAGGAGAAGTGGGAATCATACAAGAACCGTTTTAACCATTATATCGATGCAATTGGGCTGGCTGATGCTGGAGAGCATCGGAAAAAATTGTATTTCCTGATCTACTGTGGAGCCATCGTCTTTGATACTGCCACAGCTCTCGTGGCTCCACGTGAGTTGAAAAACGTTCCTTGGTCAGAGCTACTTGAAACCCTCACTAACCACTATTCTCCCAGGCCCTCACAGATTGCCAAGAGATTCACCTTCCGTATGAGGAAGCAAGCGGACAAGGAAACCATTAATCAGTATATGGCCGCCCTCAGAACAGCAGCATTGCATTGTGGGTTTGGAACCTACCTGGAGGACATGCTCCTCGATCAACTAGTCTGCGGGGTCAAGGACCTACACCTTCAAAGGCGCCTCCTCGCGAAAAAAAGACCTCAATCTCGCACAAGCAGTCGAGGAGGCCTTAGCAGCAGAACTGGCAGCGCACTCAGCCACCGAAATCCATGGCCCGACTGCCAAGCTGACGTCAATTCCAGTCCACTCCGAGGAGGTGGTAGCAGAGGAATCCCTGAGTGATGAAAACAACGTCCACCGCCTCTCCAATGACAGACGGCCGCAGGTAGGAGCTAAACAAGAAAACATCGGTCCACCCAAGCACATCACCCTGTGCCTAGCCTGTGGTGGATCTCATCTGAGGGCCACCTGCAAGTTCAAAGGAGCCACCTGTAATAACTACCATAAAAGGGGGCACATCGCGAGAGTCTGCCAAGCCCCTCAAAGCTCCACACAAAGGCACCCCCCCTTCTCACACTCGGGGCCACAGAGGCAAGTATTGAACTGTCGCACGCACCACCGTGCCAAGCACACTTGCCACACTGTTAGTAAAATCTCTCTCTCCGTTTCCTTAGAAGGTAAACCGTGCCGCATGGAGGTTGACACAAGGTCAGCGCTCTCAATTATCTCGTGGAACACCCTCAAGAGGCTCCAGCCCAGCCTGACCACTAGCCGGCTCCAGAAGTGCCATTTCAGCCTAAAGGACTACCAGGGGAAGACCATTCCTATAATCGGCAGAGGCAAGTTCCTTGTCAATTTTAGAGCTTTTAAAGGTCACCTACCTCTAGTGGTAGTTAAAGGCAATCTCCCTACCTTATTGGGGCTCGATTGGTTTCCCCATCTCGGCCTAGGGCTAACAGGAGTCCATGCTGTCTCAACCTCAGACACTGACTCCTTATTCGCTGATTACTCAGATGTATTCAGCGATGAGCTGGGGTGTTATAACGGTACCCCAATATCGTTCTCAGTCGACCCCCAGGCAGTCCCAATCAGGCTAAAACCGCGTAGGGTCCCATTCGCTATTCGGCCAAAACTAGATGCTGAATTGGATAAACTATTAAAACAAGGGGTCATTGAGCCAACAGATTTCACCAAATGGGAGACGCCCATTGTCGCACCCCTCAAAAAAGACGGTAGCCTGAGAATTTGCTCGGACTACAAGACCACAATCAATAAGTTTCTACAAGTTAGCGCTTACCCAGTGCCCGTCATTCAGCATTTATTACACACTTTTGAACCTGGCAGCATTTTTGCCAAATTGGACATGTCTCAAGCGTATCAACAGTTCCCTGTTGACAACCAAACAGCGGAACTCCAGACCATTGTCACTCACAGGGGTGCTTTCCGATGCAAGCGTCTCCAATTTGGCGTAAGTGTTGCCCCAGATATCTTTCAATCCCACATGGAGCGGATTTTACAGGGCCTCCCTGGAGTAGTACCCTACTTCGACGACATCTTAGTCTCGGCCAGGGACAGACCCCAACTCTTCCAGAGAGTTCGAGCAGTGTTAGAGAGGTTCAGACAGCATGGCCTCAAATTGAAAAAAGAAAAATGCGCCATTGCCACTAGACAGGTGGACTTTCTGGGTTATAAAATTGATGCCTCAGGCATTCACCCCCTGGAGTCCAAGGTTAAGGCAATTCACGAGGCACCCACTCCAACCTCCAAAACTGAACTACAGGCCTTCTTGGGGCTATTAAACTTTTACGCATCTTTCTTGCCCCATAAAGCATCAGTAGCTGAACCCTGTTAGTGTTTGGGGATAAACCCCCAAGCAGAGTATGCAGCAGCAGT